ACACTGGGGACTGCTCATCAATAAGATAATCATTTGAGAAACTGTAGTACTGGTTCACCAGATCACGCATGTTTTGTTAAATGAACCTCTGCCTTAACAAATGGGCTCTCATGTGGCATCTCCTGAACCAAAAGGGTTACATATGCACTTCTAATTGGCGTAACAGTTCAATTACTTGATCAAATGTCTGGATGTTGCTTTCATAATCCTCCAACACACTGAATCTGGTGATAACTTTGGCTTTAAAAGAGCCTTTTGTGGTTGCATCAGAAAGATTAAAAAGATGACTTTAAAATGGCCAAACCCCCAAGGTCAGATGAAAAGAAGTGAAAATGTTTTCATCACATACTTTAAAGTTAGGACTAATTCATAAAATGTGAATACTTCAGGATGAGGGCTTAATTCTGCTGACCTCCACCTTTCAGGATACAGGAATAAAACAGTCCTTCCTTTCAATGGCTTTAGGACCTTATTGACAACCTACTGAGGTTAATGGGAAGAGTTCAGTGTGTTGTTTTGGGGTTTTTTAAAGGCAGATAGGCTTTACAACAGAGATCCCTCTCATTCAAGGATATTCTGACAGGTAGGCCTATCCCTCTAAACTCTTGCTTGGAGACTCCTCTGGATCAGAGAAAATATAATTCTGCTTCTCGGAAGAGAATAAGTCTGATGGGCTCCAAGGACACTGACCTACAAGTCTTAATAAACTCACTGAACTGCAGGACTGAAAACCCACCACAAAGCTATGAAGTAGCCAACACATGTGATAGAAAGACGGCAATTTTACTATAACAGCAGAAGCCTATGAAACAGACAAGTGGAAGAAGTAGACCACAAGTGCAAATAACATGCAGTAAAAGTCTGCTAGAAAAATAACACTGTTTTGTTAGGGAAAGAACATAGCATCATTAAAGACAGAAGATAAGCAAGAAAATGGAAGAAAGCAAGCTATTTAAATCTTTTTAATTAAGAAATTAGTTGCTTTAGATTCATCAGTATTCAGATTAGCTAAAATGTTTACATGATCTACACTGGTAAAACTTAAATGAGTTGGTCTGCTAAGATTTTTCTTTTTTTTTTCCCTCTAAATTACTGAGGTTTTAAAAAGTTAGAAGCAAATATTGATGTCTTCTCTGTGAATATCATTTATCCATGCAGGGACTTTACTTCTCAGTGTGTAATACAACTAATTCCTTGAAAAAGATGACGTTATCATTTCAGGTGACATTACTGCCCTAATTTTCCTAAATGATGCATTAAGTCTTTTTTGGTCATTTTCTGACTGATGGATATATCTGTTGAACTAGTTATAAAGGGCTTTTTCATACACCTACTGTCACCTTAAACAAAAAGGCCTGACATGATACTGATGTTGAAAACAAAGTTTGAAGTTGCATAATTGGCTGAAAGTTGATACTTAATTTTTCTCCCCTAACAGCACAAGAGCTCCTTATTAAAAACATAGCAAAAGGTAGGGATGACTTCCTTGTTTTGTACAGTGCAATACAGTGACGAATTAAAGAGCTGTTCAAACTTACCACATTTAGGGAGGCTAACAGCCAAATCAAACAGTGAGGGCTGGTAATGTGGATGGGAACAGTGCATTATCATGCCACTGGGAACATGGGATTCAGATTATAATTCTTGGACTCAGTTCTATGTCTGGGAAGAACAAGTATGCCAACAAATTTATTGTAGTTATCATTCCCCTTATCGCACTGCTACAACACCTTTGTCTAGAGTATATAAAATAGCAGAGATAGAGCAGTCCGCTTCTCACAGGAAAAAAGTTTAGTAAAAAGGAAAGGACAAAGTTATGACAGTGTTGCATATACAATATTACAACCATTTCAGGTGTATCAATTTCAGGTGTTTGGAGAGCCTTTTACATGTTATCCATAAAAATCCACCTCATAACAGCACTGAAAACTACCATTAAATCAATGGATTGTGTAGTAGCAACTATCAAATCTATGATGTTCTGTAATACTTTATAGGTGAGGAACATGAAGCACATAGCACATACACCCCATGGCAGGGAGGTTGAGCTAGATGATCCTTAAAGATCTTTTCCAAGCCAAACCATTCTATGATTCTATGATTTAATTAAAAAAAAAAAAAGTTGAAATGTTGGTTTGTAGAGCAGGTAGCATGATTGAGGTGACAAAACTGCCCTGGACAGCTGCGCCTGCCAAGGTGTTAGGCAAAGCATTTAAACTTTTCCAAGTACATATATTTTCCCACCATTCATCTGGCTTGTTTATTTGGATAACAGGCTATGAGAGTCAGGGCTCTCTTGCATATTTTCTGAACAAATAATAGCCCAAGGGACACTCATTATATTACTCTGATACTACTATTTAAAAATGTCACTGCACATGGCCAAAACATAGAGGAGGATGATTATGAAGAGACAGCCATGGAAACCTCTGCTCTGGGAATAACAGAACGTATTTCAACACACAGCAGCCTCATCGTGCTATCACGTCTGCATGTATAATGTAGTTTAACCACATCAGTATGTGGTGTAACTGTGTACATGCAAATAAAAGCATATGTGAAATAAAACGGATGACACTTTGGATTATCACTCAGACTGCCACTAGGAAGATGCCAATTACATCTTTTTCATATATTTTTCTCACATAAAATTCTATTCCTGCATAGTAGTATCTAATTCAGTGCCTATCTTCCTGGTAACATAGTTACAGTTATTTTTTCTGCTCACTGATTTGCGTATTTCATTGTTGAATTTCATCCTCCATTTTATCGTGCAGTCTTTTCTGCCATAAGATCTTCTGAACCTTTTGGTGGCCTGTCTTTGTATCATCTGTTCACACTGATTCTTTACCATCAGCATATTCGACCTCAGTCCTCACATCACCTCTTCAAAACTGTTTCTGAAGATGCTAAACACAGGTCTCAGCATGGATACCTGTGGGATGTCATTGGGAGTTCTCCATTCTAAAAAAGGCCATTTATTCCTATCTTTTAACTTCTAATTCACGTCTCAAAGAATCTTCACTCTCATCCTATGAGATACTAGTGTCTAAAAAATACTGGTTGAAATCTATCTCCAAAAGATCTTTAATCTAAAATACACACATATCAACTTGATCATCCTCATACATATGTTTATTGTCTTCATGGAATAACTCAGAAGATCAATCATGCATTAATTTCTTTTACAAAAAAAAGGAATTCAGCTCTTCCCCAATTTTCATTTTTCTTTATTATAATTTCTATTCATTTCCTTCATATGTAAATCAGACATATTGTTCTGTTCCTGACAAATTCAGCTATGGAGTCCTTTTAAAATATTGGGTTCTACTGCCATCTTCCATTCCTCTGATTTCAGGATTGCACATCACATAGTTCATCAGTTCTGTGTTTTAGTTCCCTCAAAGCCCTTAGGCACCTGCCATATAATCCCAACCTTGGTATATTTTTTTTTTTCCCTAAAACTTCTCCAAACATTTCATAGTCAAAAATGAGCCCACAGATATGTCATCTTTTCCAAACATAATTATGCAGTGCCTAATTGGAAATATTCCTTCAATATAGATCATGAAAGTTTTCCATATACTAAAGAAGAATTAAAAATTATGAACAGATTAGGCCATTCTTTCTCACCTTAGCTAAGTTTGGGGGGAAAAAAAAGTTTGAAAAACTGAAAAGCAGATCTATGTAGGCAGCATTTTTGTCATTCGTGTCATCATGCTCACCTGAAGAAAGAAAGGCCTGTTGGCAGAGTGCCACATGCCTTCATTTTGTGGCTGCCAACTTTATTCTTAGACTCCAAATACCTCCCGTGGTTTGTTTCCAGATAGGTACTTGTTATGCGGTAGAGTGGCAGGTGACATTTAATTGTAAAATCAGAACATGTCAGTATCATACCAAAGTTTGAAAAAGCAGCATGAATTTGTCTTACACATCTCTCTGGCTGGATGTCATAGGAATTAAGACTTGACAGCCCATCTTTCCACCTCATCATACAGGCAAGATGATTTTACAGGTAGAGTAACATCTATTTTATGCATCTTAAAGGAGAGTTTCTGCAAAAGTTCATATAACTCTAAGAGTAAGAGCTCTTTTATGAGACAGCATGATACATGCCAGGAGTTTGCTATGAGGTATTATTATCTTTATCAAACCTCTCTTTTTTTTTTTTAACAAAAAATTCTGGAACCAATCTATTTTATATCACAGCTGTGAATACTCTACTAAAGTGTACATGAAATAAACTATTTGCAGTAGTCCTTGTTGAGAAACCATGCTTTTTCTTAAGATTAGACAGTCAGGGTTGTCAGAAAATGGATGTTCTAAACACATTACTGTAACTCAGAAGACAGACTCTTAGCCTTAATAATAGCAACAGTGATAATAAACAACAGTGTTGTTAGTAATAGAATATATTTCTAAATGTCAGTAATGGTATTTTTAAACAAAAAAGGCTAGCAATGTACTGTAAATGTGTGCTATGAGGAACATTAGCATATAGCTGCCAGGCAATCTCAATGAAGGATTTCATTGCTGAATTATGAAATCATTGTGTTTGATATTATTATACACATACGCTCCAGATATGATGCAGATCACATTCAGGAAGGATTCCAAGCAACCTCAGAGGTCATTATTAACCCTCTGCCAATCAGAGTTTATAGATAATTATTAAATAAAACTATAGATTATACCTAGTTCTAGAACAGTCTCTATAGTGTTATTCTTTGCTCACTGTGATTAAAAGGTTAAGGTAGAACAGAAAACATTGTTTTGTATTTTTCTCTAGAGCACATAGGTAGATAAGGACACACCCGTGTACCATTTTCAAATGGCTGAGCATGAAATGTCATTTACAGTTTCTTCCTTTCAGACACATCTGTTCTGCACCTGTTTTCTTAATGTTTGTTCCTATAAATCATCTCCCGATGTTCAAGATACTTGCCCTCTCACAGAAAGTTTCACTTGGACACATGAAAATGTACAAACAATCCTCCTACCTTTAGCAGATAAGCTTGGCAGTCACTGACATAATCATACTCCAATCCGTCAAAGGTGTAGTAATGTCGATCTCCATAAATAGTGCACACAGCAGGACAGGGGTAACTCGTGCAATTGAAGATCCCTCTCCGACAAACACTGTCAGCATAATTAACAATCAGTATCTTCTCATAGCAGGGTCATTTTCTTTTTATTATCAATAAAAATCTTTCTTGGGTTCTTTATTTCACGTCATACAGAAATTCATAAAAGGAAGAAAGTTCTCAGACCTCAAAACACAGAGCTATTCTATGGGTTGCTTTTGAAGTTACAGTCGATGCCATGGCAGAAAAGTGCTGAGCATTTTGCCATCAGCACATACGTACAATAAAAATGCGTAAGAAACGAATGCAAAATCTTAAAATGTTTATGGCTTATGCAAATATTTCCATCACTGCCTCTGGTACAGATAAGATATCATGCCACAACATGCTCATTCATAAAACATCAATATATTTTTTTCTCAAGAAATTTTGATGAAAATCTGTACATATTCAATGCAAAAGACGTCCAGTTGCTACTTGTAAGATTTCAGGGTATCAGACAAGTACAGAATGAGTTTTAGAAATAAATTCTGATATTTTGCTGGATCACTTTTCCTGTCAGCTACATTCAGTGTCTGACATGAATTTGTGTATATGTAGTACTGACAGCCCCTGGTTTTGCTTGTGTAAGTGTATGAGTTCAGTTGATTTCCCAGTGAAGTTTTTAACATTAAAAGCTGCCATGCTAAACATCATCATCATCGTTGTTGTTGTTGTTATTATTATTATTATTATTATTTACACCTAACTGAAGATAAATATTTTGGTTAGTAAATTACAACAGATGAAAATCTGTTTTGTGTCAATATCGGTCAGGTAAGACTCCTTAAAAAGAAGCCAGTCACTTCATTTTCCAATTCTAATGCTTTTTTCTTTCTTTTTTTTTTTTTTCTCCTTGGCTACCTTCCATGATATTATGTTCTCCAAAATTACAAATGTCTTTTCTTTCAGAGATTAACTGATATGTGTGGAATCAAGCATTTGTTCTTGACTGCTTTTTAACTTGGATATCTTCTGGTTACTTTTCAGACCTGAAGAAGCACTCACCCAAAAGTCTGCCTACTCTTCCAAGTCTGTTAGTGAGCCTAATAAAAGAAACATCCTTTAACTACCTATAAACAAGCATATACATTTTTGATTTTCAATGCACTCAACACATTTTCTCTATCAGTTTCACTTTGTGGCTAGACCCAGATGATTTGGAAATGTGCAAAATGCATGTCACTCACCAGGTGTAACATGGTGTAGCTATCACTTCTCCTGACAGAAATTCCCTGTCTTTCCAGGTACACGGACAACTGTCAGGAATGTAACATTTCCCTCTATGTTCAGCCATCCTTCAAAATAAAAGAATTCTTAAGATGAAAGCATAAATTCACAGGTGGATCAACATAACTGAATGTGTAGTGTATTGTCTAAACCCTGGCAAGGCAACCAATCTTTCATCCAGCCAAGGACAATTGTTCCAGCAGCAACAGCTGTCCAAATCAAATTATTACTTTTCTATCTAATAGCAAAATAAGTGTTTATACTCTTACTTAACAGAAAAATTTGCCTGTTTTACTCCATTATTTGAAAGAAACTTGGGATTTGGCTTGTCTGTAGCCCTTTTGTAGTTTATCATTCAGAAAATAATCAGGTAACACATTCAATTTTAAATGCTATAATACTACTTGACTGAGAGAAGAGCTTTAGCTCTGTTTTTTAACTTATATCTTAATTATTTCAAAATTTCAGATTAACTTTCATGACAGTGCTGCTAGTTTAAGTTCATGCAAATATCATGGTGCAGTTTCAGTAAAAATTTACTAGTATTTATATGATGCCTGGTACAGATTCATGCGTTTTTGTGTTAAAAATAATTGTTTATTCCTAATGGTCTTGACAGCTAACTCTTCAGTTGAGGCAGAGGTTGTAGAGGACTACCAAATACCAGGCAAGAACAACTAATGAAATCTTAAATAGCTATACCTGAAATCTGTCCTTCACCAATGCTTAGTCATCTATGAACATCACAAGTTGCTGGAAGGGGAATTCTGGCAGTCTCATTACACTCTGCTCTGTACACAACTGATACACTGTCAAGGGAACCATTGGCTATACATACAGTGAAATAAAATCAAGTGTTGAGAAAAAACAGGGAGCACTCCACCTGAGGTCAAATTGTAGTCCACCTGAGGTCAGATTGTAGTAATTTGCACAGCATATTTGACTCTTTGAATCTAAAAGTGCACACAGCAGGTATCGGGGGAGGGAATGGAAACAGATGGAGGGAGTAGTGGTTGATCATGACACACTTCACAACAAATGCTTATAGCTTTTATACTTTGTTTTGGCCCCTGCAAAGCTCAGCAAACTGTTTCGGGGCACCAAATCTAAACATATGAGCTGAGCAAACAAAACCTTTGACTGAGTTTAGAAAGGCAGAGAGAATGAAGGGGAAGAGGGCAGGATCCATACTGCAACCTTCACCCCCCTGCCCCAGATTGGGCATCAGTACTGTAAGCCTGAGTAGAAGTCTAGGTGAGACAATTACCTGGCCAGTAAGCAGGAACACAGATGGTTTACATCACAAATTTTTGTCATGTGTGCTTCTACACTCAAATAAACTACACTGTGCAAGTAGTGTGAGTCATCTCCTGTCCAGAGAGTCCAAAATAGTAGCCAATCAGACTGGTAGCAACCTGGATATCTCATGGGTTAGTGGAATCATGGTCTCAGGACGAAGAAACTGCAGAACTCTAACCGAGGAAGCATTAAAGCATGGAACCTCACACCAGCAGAAAGGAGAAAAGGGCTCTCAGACATAAGAGAAAGAGTTAGCTTTTTAACTGTAACTGTATATCTGCAAAAAAAAGTATAGAATAATAGCTTCAAAATTAGAAGTGTGATACCACTGGAATTTAAAATGCAAAAAAAAATATGCAGAGTTAAACTGTGAAAAATATGTATATGCCTTGTGCTCCAGGTTATTCTACCAAACCTTACCCAGGGGGACAAATGCAGCCACTTGCACAGGGTGGTGAGGGGACACAGGAGAAGTTCATGGCAAGGTTTGCACAAGAGATCCCACAATTCGCACCCGCTGCTGGTAATCCAGGCACAGGAGATCTGCAGTCATAGTAGATTTTTCCTTCAGGGCATATGTGAACTTCAAATGAAAAATGCAGGTTAAATGAGATCAACTGCTCTTTTTCACTGAAGGTTTTCTATTTCTTTTTGTTCACAATCTGTTTATTTTAATGTACAGTTACCCTACATTACACTATACATAAGAATACAATCTGAATAAAAGTCTATAACTTCATTTGTATTACAGATATAAAATTAATATATGTTTTAATATTAAAAGAAAGACTAAAACTCAATATTAAACATCTGGTTCTATGCACTCTGGATCTGATACACAGTCTATTCTTAAAGATGTAGTAATTATGCCTTACGTAGACAGGATCTTCAGAAGAGACATAATTTTCAGTGTACTGAAATCCCTTCTGAATCCATTAGAAATTAATTAAAAATTTACTTTCTAGAATTCAAGATCTTAAGGTTACCTAAACATAGATAGTGATCCCAATTTTAGGTATTCCCATGAGAATATATTGACCTATACCTCACATGTAATTATTTAATTTTTTTTAATTTCAGAAGTGACTTGGTACAATTTGTGCTACAGAAAAAGGAAAAAGAAAAAAACAAGACAACTTGTGCTCCTGACATATTTTAAATATGTCATGATGTTAAATATCTCATAGTGAAATTACTTATAAGGAGAAACCCAAATGACTATTCAGTGTCAAAAACTTTCTCTGTGCAACTGTAATATGAGACAAGACTGTAAATTACCTCTATTTTCTATAGTGGTTTCAATGCATTTCACTGTTCCATTCAAACACTGACTGGAAAAGAAAAGCAAGCCCATCATTATTCCAGGGTAAAATGTTTTGTAGCTACCTTGTTAAAAAAGATAATACAACTTAATTCAATTTAAACAACAGAAACAAAGAGGAGAAGTAGGATTGAAATATAAAAACATGAGTTCTGACCAACATTTTGTTGGTGTTTTCTAATCACTTATTTGTAATGAGGGCCCAGACTCACAAAAGTGTTTATGTGCTATTTAATTGCCTAACTTTCACTGAAATAAAAAAGAAGCTTCTGTGGGAATGTAGGGCCAGGTGATTCAGGATGCTGGCAGTGTAACACAAAACCTTATCTGCCTTGATGAATATGGAAGGACACAGTATTCAAATTTCCCTTTGCACAGATGTTAGGATACTAACGTTTATTCTTTTCATGATAAAATACAGAATTGCAGAAAAAACATCAACAATAAATCTAGATCTCATTTTTTCATTTTTCTTTTAAAAAATGTGGAAAAAAAAAAAAAAAACCAAACAAAGTAATGAAGAGGCATAGCAACAGCAAAAATTGAAGTCCCTACCCTCACCTCTTGAACTACATGATTACCAAGCTTCAGGTATAACAACTATAAGACTTCAGCAAGACCTTGACACTCAAGTCACAGGCATGATTTGAAATCAGCAAGTTAAAGACATTTCTTGTAAAATTTCTGTTTTACCAGGAAACCTGTGAGGTTTCTCCACTTGTTTCAGTGAGGTCAGGATTCCATCATGAATTAATAATTCAAAATTACACAAATATAGCTCCCTGCAGGGCTTTGTTTGAAAGACTTTCCAAAATAGAATCACATTGTTTATTCTTCCAAAACCAGCCTCATATTGCTATCAAGATTCCCCCCAGGTCTAAGAACAGGACTGGAACTGTCTATGTGTGTGTTTTGAGATACTCTTTGGTCCCTAACTTACAGAATTTTCCAGGTATCCTGTTGTTAAAATAAGTAGGTACATAATCCAATTTATATTAGTCTCCCTTTTACTAAGTGTGTAACAGAAATAAAATCTTGATACAATAAACCTTCATTCTATGTGAAAAAATTCTCAAGGCTCTTGAGTAGCATCCAAACTGTGATACATGAAAGATAAAACTTTTGGCACTCAAACCTACCAGGAGCCTGTTGGCGTAGGGAGGATTTCTCCAGGCTGGAGGGCTTTGCCCTTGTAATGACAATGACAGGCAGATCTGTTGAAAGAATATTTGTGCATGTAGATACAAAAGCAAGATGAAATGGGATTTAAGGGCAATCCATTTATCAAGCTATTATAAGTAGTCTTTATAGTTCATTAACTCAATCTTTATAATATACTTTTAAAGGTAAAAACTGAAGGATGACACTGAGTGTGTTGAAGTCAGTGGCAAAACTCCTGCAATCTTCAACAAAGCCATGATTTTCCTCCATCGCCATATTATTTATTTGCTGTTTCTGTGCATTAGTCTTATAGAAAGGAGCTTTTCTCCCCAGTTATGGGAGTAATATGATAACATGTAGTTCCCATTCAAAGAACTGTCAAAATCATGGGACTGAGGAATTACCATAGCAAAATCCATGAACTCTGTGATAAGAGCCAGATGGGATAAAAGTAGCAACAGAATTCCCTAGACACCATGCAAAAATATGGGAATACCAAGTTATCTCACACTCTTCAATAGTTTGAAACAGTCTTTACCCCTACAGTGTGAACTTTACTGATCTTTCCAAAATATAAGTTGCAATGAACAGCAATAACCCTGTACAATTTTGAAACATATAAATATTCATTCCAGTTTTTAATTCAGTACCTGAACTCGGTAACTCCCCATGGTGGTAAGCTATATAATTTCAGTATACAATGTACAGAAACTATTTCCTTTCATTGACCATTTCCTACTATTTAACTGAGGGGTTTTGCATTGTGAGACAGAAAAAAAGACATACCTAGCCACTCTCTCCATACTATCCCTGACTTTATAGATGGCTAGTACATAGATTCCTTCTCATTTTTTTCTTAAGTGTTAAAAACAAAGTTTTTATTTGAAAATGCTTTCCTCCGAATTAAAAAAGTTTCATCACCCTTCTCTGAAGCAGTGTGAAGTATCTTCTCTGAGGTACAGTAGATGGTTGTACACACAGTAGCAGATGAAGCCCCACTATCGATTAGTACAAAACAATATGAAGCCTCCACATACTGCTTGCTATCCTGCTTAGATTGTCTACATCTTGAGGGAAACAGCAGAAAAGCTACTTTAAATCTTGCTGGAAAGAGGAAAATGTGCCCACGCATATATTCTATTTTCTTATGACTTACATTGATACACAAAAGTTGACTGACTCTTCAAAATATTTCCCATCAGGACAATTACATCCTTCTGCACAGTCATCACCACAGATATTCACCATAGAAAATGAAGCACATGAGTGTTTACAAAAAGAAGAGCACTGATGATAAAGCATACCCCTGTGACACATCACAGCTGGAGGAGAGAGAGGGAGGGAGAAAGGAGAACAACATACTATCAAATTGTGAACAATAGAAAACAAAGCAATATATATGCCATGGGAGTCCAAAACAAGCAAAGCAAAATGGTCTCTTGCTGCACTGGTGTGAGTTAAAATGCATGAGAAAAATATGATGTTTTACTGATTTCTTAAGTTAGAAATGTTTAGATTCAGGTGGGTTTATGTTAGATAATTCTTTGCCTGGAATGGTCTTATTCTTTATGTATGTTAAGTGTGTGTCTATGTAGTGGGTGCGTCTATCCAGTAACTCAGGCTTCCAAAAGAGGAAGAATGGTCCAGTTAAGGTTGAGGCATTACTCTATGGTTTAGAAATGCCTTGTTTTAAATCATTGCTATATCCTACCTGGCAAATCACTGTCTACCCTGCCTTGCCTGCCCTGGGGAGCCCCTGCCACCCTGGCTTGCCTTCCCTTAGGGGACAACTCCGCTCCTGTCACTCCCTGACTACTTTCGCTTATTAGGGGCTTCCATATGACTTAGGGGTTCAAAGTTAAAAATTTAAATTCTCTCTGTAGCCAATGGAAAGAGACAGGCACACCCTGTGAGGCAGCTCAGGTTCCCCAACTCACATGCCTAATGTGAATGTTATTGGGTTTCTCCCCTAGGTATGTCATTAGCCCATGGCGCAATTCTAGTTTCTAGCAAAAACAGGTCAGTCCCTGTATTTTGTGGAGCAAATTCTATATGTAGAATTTTACACATTTCTAAAAGATAGTCTGTTCTGCAAATGTTACTCACCACAGTAAGAAATGTGAGATCTGAAGTCAATGACGACCCCATGCTTGCCACAGACGTAGGCGTAGTGTGCCAAAGCATTACACAAACAGCTGCTTCCACATTTGCACGCATCGAAGCGGCATAGCTGGTAGTATAGTCCTGGACTGATGTAGGCATGGCAGGGAGCAAAAACTTCTTGATTGATGATATCACAGTGAGATGCATACCCAGCTAAGAGAAGGTGACATTGTTTTAGACAGATCTATTTTAATATAACAGTCAAATAAATAGCACAGAACATGAAAACCAAACATAGCCAGCTGTGCAACAAAAACTTGCTTACAGTGTCTATCTGCAAAGTTCTGTAGTTTAAAATGGATATTGTAAGCAACTCCCTCAACAATAAACCTCACTTAAGATAAAAATAACTCTATTAAAAATAGTTATGCCTTCCTCTAGTAGTGCAGGAAACTTAAATGGCAAAATAATATATTTCAAAAGAGTTAGTTAGAAGAGACTTCCAAAGTTTGGAATATGTTTTTTCCTACTTAGTACTTCATTTAGCTTTGAAATCAGCAATGATCATATACTTCTTGATACGTGAACTCAGGAAGCATTACAAACTGGAGATTTTGGGCATGTAAGTGCCAAGGTGGCCATATACCTTCTAGCACCAACAGATGCTCCCCCTACCACTGAAGCATACTACCACCACAAGTGGTGGAATATCTTAGAAACACCATAGTGTGGATCATATTTAAACCAATTTTGCTGCTAAAAGAGTGTCCCTACCCTTCATCCTCCCTGTTCATTCTCACCTACACACACTGACATAAGGTCTTCTGGAGTCTCAGTAAACTAGATTCAAGGAGTGAACTTGACTTGGTTTAAATGTAACATGATAAAATAAGTAAACAAATAAACAATAATTCCTTTTTCAGTTACATCAGATTAAGATCATTACAGACCTGAAAAAATGCTTGTGCTAGCTCAGGACAGGTGGCAACATGTGGCAGGACCACTTACTCAGGGACTGTTTTTTCCAGTGATGATTACAGGATCACAGGAAAATTCAGGCTGGAAGGTACCTCAGAAGGTTATGTAGTCCACCCTCCTGCTCTAAGCAGCTTACATTTATGTCAAATTCCACCTTCACTGAGGAAGTACAGAAGTGAAAGTGAGGCATGAAGTATCTTGGAGAGAGTTAACTTGGCTGAGATGTCCTGCTTTAGAAGACAGCCAATGCTGAAGGAATAGAAAGTCTTAGAATGCCCCGAATTCTTAAAGTTTTATGGTTATTTTGGTCTTGCTCACACAGGCTCTAAATATGGCCAAATCCCACATCATTAATGAGGCCTTATGTCTGAAATATTAAAAACATTAGTCAAAATTCTGACAGAATTGGCAACTACTGTCTGCCCATTGTCTTCCTTAATTGAAAAGAACAGCAACATGGAAAGTAGGAGACAGTGAAAGTTCAATGCAAAACATAGGCATGTCAACCAAACTAAATCTTTACTCAGGAATCTAAGCAAATCCATGGAGCTCAGATTGTTTGCATCAGTTTGTGTCAGAGAAAGTAGGTGAAGGATAAGGAATCTTTTAATGCAACAAGCATAGAGAAGCCAGAGACAGGACTTTTGATCTGAACACTGTCAGCAAGACACTGTCTCCTATATGTTCTTTGTCAGTCTACAAACTTGCATCACATCATTCCTTTTGACTGGCATAATTTACAAGACTACAGACGGTGTTCTGCCTAAAACTCTGCATGCATATTTGACAGGAGAATTTAGGACTCATGGCCAGTACACACAGCATTAAATGACCAACTAGCTTGTATTTATGAAGGACTTACTTCATTTTACATGTTAAATGTATGGAAAAAAAGGTCTTTGCCAAAAAAAAAGAAAAATGAAAGAAAGAGTACACATCTAAAATTGAAGTTGAAATCCATGTACGTGCAACTCATTCACAGAGAAAACAAAAAATGACCCATAATAATAAGATACAACTAATTCCAGACTCCCATGTGAAAACATACCATTTTGCTGATTAATGTTGCAGGGATCAACCACAGGAATATTGATAGGTACAGAACAAGCTGAGGAAACCTTCCATGCATTGGCATGAAGTTGGGGGGTCCCTTCTATCATCCCTGATGGAGAACTGAAAATGAAAAGATTAACACTGCAAGCGCCTTGCTGACCTTATGGACTACAGGAGTGTGGATGCAAGTACATCAAAAAGCCTTAGATGCACAGTCACATTGAACATTCAACATGTCAAAAGATTTTCCATCTGTGAGGTATAAAAGAAGAGAGGGCTTGCGAAGATTTTTCCTCAATATTTTACTTATGCAAAAATACTCTTACACTGAAATTCTTGCCCTCACACTTAATTCAAGTACTCTCAAATCAGTTGGAAGAAGCATTAGTGAGAGGAGAATTCAGCCTTTCTTGGAGTACATACATTCATTGAAATATCAAAAATTTGACCTGTTAGCTAATTTCAGTGTTCTAGAAGAGGGCTGTTTGCATTTTGATGCTGTTTTTCACCACGTATTTCAAAAGCATTTATTATTGCTAGAAAAGTTCAGTGATATTATAGCTTGAGGGACTTTAGAGGAAATTAAATAAAAGAATAAAGAAAGGGCATCATTCTAATTAAACTATTCCTGTTGTTCAGAATTACTTTTTTTTCCATTAAAAATTGATGGGGGGCAGGGGGCGGGAATCAAGCAGTAGTAAGTGTTAATCAGGTGAGCATGATACTAGTATTATCATCCACTCTTTTTGTCAGTGCTCATCTATTTGCTCTGATGATAAGGGAGCAACAAGGAGGGAAAAAAGGGCATTAAAGCAATATCTTCATCCAATAACTTCTATAAGTAATATGGTAGTATTCTAGAATTACTTAGCTAAGCATCTTAGAATGACTTAGCTAAAATTATGAGTGACTAACACTTTAATAAAGAGATTTTATATTGGTTAGCTTAATAAAGTATGAGCACATTAATGAAATTAAATAATCAGATGATTGCATTCAATAAAACTTCTCACTTGTTATTAAATACAATTTAAATGTACAATATGCAGCTTACAGAAAATCATCTCTTAAATTCCCATTGTATGTTCCACATAGTCCTAATGTTCTTCTCTTCCAGCTGACATCAACTTGAACATAGATCCTCTCTCCATCTTTAGCAAACAGTATCTTCAAACCAAAACTAGTTTTCAGTTGAACAAACAAAGAAGATATATTCTGAATTTCAATAGCTCCTGCACATAAGAAAAAGAAAAACAAAGGCAATGAAATCCAACTTCAGCATGTATTAGATCACCCCTTGAACAAAATAAATTTTGAAAAGTCAGAAATGAAATGAGAAACTATGCACAACCTCACCTGCAGCCAAATAACCTCACCCATTCTCCATCTGAACTTATGAGACTACATATCTTTTTCATTAGCAGCACAAATCAGGAATTGCAACTACTGTTGAGAGTAAAAGATCTCTCACCTTTCTGTACCTGTCAGTTATCCAGAAACCACTCTCGCATTTCTATTTTTTTTTTTAAGAAGAAAGCAATGCAACAGCATGCCTCTGGCAATGAGAAGACAAGACAAGAAACCACTTGTTTCTTAGTCTCCAGGGATGTTATAAGATTAATTAACAGATAAAATAAAGTGTATTGCAATCTTTAAATAGAAGGTTCTCTCTTACTATTATTGATATGACATCAGTATAGCTCCTTCCTTAGACTGTATGTGAATTAAGGCCCTATCAAATTCCCAGCTTTCCTTCCCAGCAAAACCATTATGCGAGGAAATGGAAATTTCACAGTCACAGCATTCATTTGTTGCACATTGTTGGTCTACTTGCAGCTGCAGGCTTAAAGGAAATCTACCTCCACAAGCAGCCTCTACACATGCACACACACACACTTAGATGCACAAACTGAGAAGAGGCAGATAAAATGCATATGTGAGCTTAAAGATGTTCTTAGCCTATAAGGCTTACTAGATAAACCTAATTATCAAGAATGTGACACCAAAATATTTGTGATAGATTATATTTGTCACAGACTATGGAAATACACAAGGAAGAGAATAAGGACTGATTCAAGACATAAAATGAAATTATCAATGAAATTATGAAGCAAAACTATTAACATACATGAAAATATAACTGAGCTATGAAACTCATTGCCATAGGAAGCTGTGAATGCCAAAAGCAGAACTGTGACCGTACAAATTCAATGAAGAAAAGACAGCTGAAACTACCAGCACAAGACATAGCTGAAACCATCAGCACAAAACTCTGTTTTGCTGGAGTCTCAGAGAGGGGAACTCCTACTTTACTCTTTCAGAAAGAGAATAAAAATCCAGTAAGAATTTACTACTGATCACAGTAAGATACCAAATTTAGCAATATTGCTTCCAACTTCAGTGCTTAATTTTATAACATTCTTTTACGGCTGATTTATTTTACTATCCTTTACAAAAAGGTGAAGTAACCTGTCTGAAATCACAACATAAGCCAGCACTTAGAAAGCAACATAGAACCTGTAGGGTACATGGATTCTAGTCCATGCCATTTGTTCCAAAAACCTTTAATCAAGTTAGATCTTAACATCAGCATCAAGATGATTTCCAGTCTCTCTTTACCTCCCTTCTTTTTCTTACCTCATCCCCCCTAAACAAAAACAAAATGAGTGGAATTTCTAGGTAGTCTACAAAACAAGAAATGCAAATAAATGAGGGCATAAGTGATTGTACATTTCATAAGTTATGTTTGAAGAAATTTCTTTTTCACGGACAGATATTATTAAAAAGCTTGAAAGCATATAAAAGAAAGAATGTGAACTCTTGTAAAATTATATTCCATGCACTTCTTACCATTAAGGTTAAAAACTTGGTTAAGACCAGTTTGGACTTGACCGTATCTCGTGAGAGTTACTTGTTTGCTCACATCATCTTCCAGAACTAGTGTTATAGACTCAATGCAGGCATGGTCAAAGTTCTAAGTAGAAACAAGTTTCACCATTAGAAACAGGCAAAGACATTAATATTACCATGGAAAGTAAAAATAAACAAATGGTAAAACACAGTTGTATAGAAAGGAAATACCAGAACTCTCATAAGGCAAATCAATTGTAAACTATCACTCAATAAATTAAACAGAGCACCCAAAATTGTATGTAGAACATAATAATACATTGCATATGCATATAAGAGCAAGAAGAATGATTTTAGCTATTATGGCAGTCTAGTAGTAAGTGGACAGAGGTTGCCAAGTACTGATACAGGGTTCCAAAGGCCATAATCGCATGGTCACCCTGGGTGCTCCTCATTTCTGGGTTAGTCAGTGTTTGAGTAAGAGAATGACCCTGTCTACATCAAGCTGGTGCAACCAGAGCCCAAATGCAGCAAAGCAGGAGAAGGAAACTTGCACACATGAAGGTGCTTCTCACCTTGAAATGCAGTCATGATCTCTGACTGCAGACCAAACTGGTATAATTTCTCCAGAATTATACTACAATAATTTATAAATATCTGACTATCAAAAAATGGTGACTTATAAACTAACTCACACCCATCATTTTAGAGTGCGATCCAGGCAGAATTTGTGAACCTAAGTACAGGAGAAAAGGTGACACATAGTCAGCTTAAACCAAGCATCTTATGTTCCCCAGGGCCCTTGTGTTTTTACCCAGAAACTTTCCAAGGTACCTAGAGTTCTGCTGCAGGTCACTTCCAGTAGCATCCTTGTCTCTCAGTGGCTACCTAACCAACCATTTCATGCTTGAGGCTCCCCTCAGCACATGGGAAGCTGTGAGTCACAGTCTCAGAGCCCCTTCTCCTGAGAGGCTAGGTGAGTAATAACAACATTAAATCCAGTCTCACAGGTAAGCACTTTTTATAAGCACCTCTATTCGTAAAGCTGGTTGTTGGATACCTGCCAAAATACTTTCAAACAAATATGTGTGGTGGCTAGCCTCTTGAATAGTTTTCTAAAAGGCATTGTTTCAACAAATTAAATATGCTAGAACATATCAAATAAAAATCTAAGCTACCAAAAAACCTACCTCTTTCCTAACTAGCAGTGTATTAAACCTGTTCAGTGCTGCCAGCAAGAGCTTTTCTAAAGCCTAAGACATTTGTTTGTACCATAACCAAAGATGTATATATTTGTTCAATGTGCATAAATGAATTACTCTTTAGACTTTATCCCTCTAAAGATCCAACTGACTTTACAAGAGGCAACACAACATGTAGCAATACAACTTCTTACAAAAAAGCTGTAAAATGGTTTCAATTTATATTTTCTGTTAAACATAACCTGGTATTTTACAGTAGAACCTATACAAGATTGCCTGAAATATAAATGGACAGATTTGTTCTGAATTTTCAACAAAAATGTGACTTACATGTCCACAAGGTTCTTTCTGTAAAGTGATTGTGAATTTGTTTTTCCCAGTGCCTTTTACCAAAATGTACTGGCAAATCCCAAGAAAGGTAAAATGACGTCCATCAAATGTTGTGAAATGAGAGCTACCTGTGATGGAGCACTCAGCTTGAGAGAAAAAGGATAAACAAGAATGTTCACTTGAATAAGAAGGTATCATTATTCTGTAAATGATGGAAGAGAGATAAATAAGAAACTGTCTCCTTATTTCTAAGCACATAATCCAGGCTAACTTTAATCTATCTAGCTATTACAGCATTTGGAAATAAAATATGTTATATACTCCTATTTCCATCAGATACCATCTCATTTTGCACACAGTGATGTGCAGCTTCTTTTGGTTTTAACTTTATGATATGCCTTTCAGTCACGAGTTCTCCACAACAGAAAAGAGTTTTCTCTTTATTACAACTCTGAGGTTTCCTAGAATCTTCTTCCTCATTATCTCTTTGCATGACTGAGTGTGAAAGAGGACGTTTCTTTCTCATTCTTTCTACGTACTATGGCACTGCTTGTTACCTCAGGTATGAAGAGGCTGCCAGTGTCTGTCCTCAGGGCATGTCTATGTTTGCCTTTCAGTTCAGATCAGGAGTGCACTGTTGAAGCATCCCCACTTACTGCACTTTCATTCACACCGTGGGGCAGTGTCAGAGCACATGAACTAGGTTCATCTTGGCTGCAACTGGTACAGGAGCTGTGGAAGCTACTGCTCCCTCTACAAACAGGCATTCAGTCCCTAGGACCAGACTAAATGAGTCATAATTAACCCCCCATACGAACACACAAGACATACAGAGTGGTTCTCAGTGTCAATTATGTTACAGTACAGATCCACCTTGTAACTCTTAATCCTTGTTTATTACCTTATTTGGAGGATGTTCCTTAATTTATAAAAAATTGTCTCTTTCACAAGTTTCCTAGTATAATCTTGTCTAAAATACATAACTGTCATGGGAGTTTCACTACCCAACTACTGCATGTTCCTCTGGGTAACTCATTACAGAGACGTAATCTTTAAAGATAAGGATCATTATCCAAACATGAACTGCTATTACAAGGGAGAAAATACAGTACACTGAGCATCAGAATTATGTTTTTTCTTATTATTTGCATTACAATTGCACCTAGAAGTGAGGAGATCCTTCCACCTGGCCTAGCTACTGAACAGGTATCAGAAATAAGCAGCCTGCCCCAAAGAACATAAAGCATAAGCAGGAGATAGAGAAAACAAGAGGTGGATGTAACACAATGAGTTAGGGAAGCAAATGGGAAAAGGTAAGGTGAGTATGGTCAGGCAGTTAACAGCTTCACCCCAGCTGGTTCACTGCTAGTCTCAACATCCATCTGCTTAATCTTTCTTCTTAAATTAGCATCCCAAGCCCTTGGATCATATCTCATTCCGCTGTCTTCTGAAAAGTTTATCCCTTGTGTTCACTGAGAAAAGAATAGTGAAATACAGATACCTGGGCAATCATGATCAGTGCAGTTCCAAATGCCACCAATACAAATACTAAAAAGAAAAATCACAAAACACAGAAATTCAGTGTTCTGATCTTTAACAAAAAGAGCAGCTTTGAGCTAATTAATATGTCTTGGATTCACCCTTTCCATAGAATAGGCTGCATATTTTAGTAATACTTCTTTAAAATGAAAGTGTGACTACAGTGATAAACTAACTATGGGTGGCAGTCACAGAGAGAGGAAACACACACGTGAGGCCTTCACATACCAGTCGCTACATTCTTGTTCAATTTTTGAGCCCACAGGGAAGGCAGTTCCATGATAAACACAAGGACAATTTGATACAGAGATACAAGTTCCATTTTCCATAATGAGACCTATTGGGAGGAAAGTTAATAAATAAGATAAAAAACAAATTAACAAACTCCAGATCACTGCTCTTCCCCATCTGACGCAAACATTCAAATTGGCCAGAAAGTGATCTCACAAGTCTTAACTGGGAACCAGCAAAAAGAGTCACCAAGCAAGTGCAGAGAGCTCAGGGTGATGAACGGAGAAGCTCTCTTAAAGCAGTTGTCACTCTGAATAGTTGCTTTATGAAAAATGTCTCCACTGAGCATGTAAAACTGTACAGATTCAAAAATGAAAAGATTTTGAGATCACATAACCGTTACTCCTTTTAGAACAGGATAGTTCATCTCCAGTTCCTAATTTTTATTAAGTATAGGTCTCAGGAAGTTTGTTTTCATGTACAGAGCATAAGACACATTCTGTTCAAACAAAATCTTAGTAGATTTTGGAATAATTCAAATGAAGTGGATTAAATCTATGCAGTATCTTATTGTAGCAAGAATTAGTGATGGCTCCAGATTTTAACTGATATTTCGTTCTGAGCCTCCTTTGTATTCTAGAGGAATGTTTAGAACATAGTGAAGGAAAGAATCACAATGAGACTAACAACAGCTAGAGAAGAACTTACAATATTCATATTTGCAGGCTTTAAGCACAATCTATTTAGACAACTTTATTATGATGTTAGATATTAGCTTTACATGTATTTTTTCACATAAAATTGACAGTACTTACCATCTGGACAGTAACAGCCATCTAAGCAGTGTAGGTTGCTGCCAAGACAATCTTTTTCAAATGTGCAGGTTGGTGGACAACAACTGATACAGTCACGGTGTACAAAGCTGTCTTCACACTTATCGGCTAGAAAAAATACATGGTACAGTGAGCATTAGTGAAATTTCTCTTTCCATACTAAAGAACCCCTCTCTTTCAAATAAACAGTTGTGTAGCACTTCTGGTATAGGTAATTATTCAGATCAGGGAAAAATGAATTGTTCGGAGAAATTTTAACTGATGAACTGTGGCGAATCTCTCATCAGTTTTTATGTCTTTCTTTACCAAATTCTTACATCACCCCTCCAAAAGAAGTTACAGTTTCTGTGATAGGGGAACATCTGCTCATACTTCAGCTAGTTCAAAGTCTTGTGCATGAGACTGAACTGCAGTTGATGGGTGGTGGTGATAACTAGAAGGAGCTGGATTAACTGCATTAATTCTGTTGTAAGGCCAGTAGAGACTGAAAGGTCATCTGGGAAGAGGGGCGACATCAGATCTCCACAGATGTTTGTTCTTTGTCCTAGAATATGATCAGCACACATGATGTTTCAAGCAATCTGAAGAAACATGAATTTTGTATGGATCTAGATCAGATCATAATGGAATTAAAATATTCCTCTAGCAAGTCATTGACTTCATTGTTCACCAGCAATAGTGAAGCTGGATGATTTACTTCAGTATCAGGTTTGACTCCTATAGTGACAAATGTTGTCAAGATGGAATTATTTGAAATGAATACATGGGGTATCTCAAAGGTCATATTTGCTTTATTAAAGAGTCTTACTACAGGCAGGAAAGTCATCTCTCCAGTCCCGCACCGGGGACCCAGCATGAGAGCATGCTCTAGCGTACTCTGTCACCGCCCTGCAGTATGTTTCATCATCATCCACTCTGAAATGATAGAACAAGACAATAATCAAGGAACTCAAATCCCATCTACAGATCTCTGCCACGGGATACTGCACAGGATATTTCACACATAGCTGACACCACTCAGTCATAATGGCATGCAGTGAAACTACTATGAAAAAGAATGAGCTATACTGAATACGCTGTTGTATTTCTATCATTTGATCTCACAGAAGGTTACTTCATTTTAATTTACCAAAATGAACAAACCCACAGATTTATCACAAAAAAAAATATAAATGCTGCTTATGGTGAAAGGGAAACATGACCTTGTCTTGAAGACAATGTACAACTCAACAGTTTCAAGATCCACGTCAAGTCTTCTCCTTCCTGCATGACGTGGAAACTCTGACCTATACTGATAAAAGGAATTCTGGTCCAAATAACAAGTTCAAGTTTCCAATTGCCTGTCAGCCCTTGAACTTAGGTGAGAAGAACCCTGTTGGTGTACTCCTGACCTTGTGCTGAAGTGCTCAGAGCCAGAATTATTATCCCATGAATATTGTAGACGAGGTCAGGGATTTACAGCATGACCTTGGTCAAAGACAATATCTCTGCCTTAGTCTATACAGAAGAAGCTGTACAGCACGCTTTTGCCAGGATCAAGTAACATGACATTCATCAGTGTTTAGGTAAGCTCAAATTTTATTCAGATGTAAGTCACGTAAAGCAAGATACCACCAACCTTTTGTTACTGTGAAAGTCCAACAACTCCCATCACTCACTGTGGAGGACTTTATGCCAAAATGAACTAGTCATAACATGACATTTCTATTATAAGCATGACTGTAACAGATCAGCTGAGTTTGTCTTTCAGCACACACGATCATGCTTCCAAAATTAATGGTCTTAAGAATATATTATAGTGTTTGTATTCTGCTTTCAACACATCTGTTATCAAATCAAACACCACTATCCTCTTTCTTACAGTGATCAGAATCTCTTCAGCTCTCCTTATCTAATCCAATTAAATGGGTCTTAATAGAAAGAATACTTGGCATATACTGTGGTCCCACAAGAAACTTCATAAACTGACACTAAGCCACAAGAAAAGAGGTCTCTTTTATAAACAAAATAAGCCTAAATTAATGAAGTTCTGACACACAGAAACTTCCTTCAAGGTTTTTAACATTTACTCAATTCACTTCAACACACATATGCATGCTGACAAAAATCAAATCCACCTTAACACCATGACACTGATTCAATATCACATTTCAAAATGTGCTTTTCATTATTCTTTTGCTAAGAAAAATTCACAATAAACTCCTAAGTTATAAAGAGACCATATAGAGGCAACTCATCTCTTCTCTGAGTGAAATCAATGTACATATCATAAACCTCAGGAAGCACACTTTGGAGATTTGCCCAGAAACACAAATTCTTCCATCTTGACTTTATGGTAAAGCAGAAAACTAAAAATTCATCAAAAATTAACTAACAAGTTGTAATGGATTGTACTGAATGATTCTTACTTTTAGACTGGTGATCCTTTCTGTATATTTTTGAGTAAATTGATGGTACTCTCAGAAGGCCATAATAGTACCTAGTAAAAATCCTGACACTCATGACAATTATTTCTTAATTTAAAAACCCTGCTAAAACGGAAGTGGTACACTACTCAGTCACATACTCAGTTATACTCTGGAGCACCAGTTTAGTTTGAATGACAAGAACTTAACAGGACTCTGGAGAACTAAGGTAAAATCACCAGTTTGTATATAATGCCAGCAGCTGAGGTGCTGTAACAACCACCAAAGCCAATGAGAGTTGAATTTCTTTTGACTACTCTGAATTTACATAAATAAAACTATTTTGAAAATTTCTACTAATTTGAACCGTAGTGGTTGCTCATAAAAACAGTCCAACTGTCAGACAAATGGTCCAGCTCCTCCAGTATCATTGATATTTCCCCCCTAGTATCATCTCCATGTATTTTTAATTCAGGACCACCAGATACAGGTTTTAGGGTTTTTGTGATTAGCAGCTCCTCTTTTGTCATTAATCATTCTCCATGGATTTCTGTTTCGTGTATTTGTCTAGTATTTCCTTGAATTCATGTAAACCTTTAGCAATCAAAATATCCCTTGGCAGGATGGTTCCGTGCCCTTTGTTTCTACACTAAATCACCCACTGAGAAACCCCATCTCTTTTGCTTTGAACGTGGTTCCTCCTAACTTTCCTCAATGCTGCTCAGTTCTAGTATCAAACGAAAGAATGACATTCACTTCATGCATCAAAAATAAATACACAAGAACTCCAGTCTTACCTGCAAAGATCGTTCATGCAACTAGAAATATAAGAATATGGATCTATGCTTTCATGGCAGCTGAGAAAAGGAAACTGTAGGAGTATTTGGCACTTGAAGAATATGTCCTGCGCATTAAGGAGAATCAGTAAATAACAGTAAATATTTTCTGAACAAACATAATTCTTTTTAGCTTTGTTTCCCTAATCTAGGGTATTTTATGTCCCCAATAAAATTTGAGAATCTCACAGACTTAATTTATTATTATGCCTCCTTTATTATTCTTCCTAAAATTTGTCCTCTCTGTCTAGGCTGCCTTGATTGCATGCTGCTCCTAAACCAGCTGGGATGAAAAAGTGTGAAATGATAAAAAAAGCATTTTGTGTCAGTGCAGAAGCTGAGCATGTTACTTCTGCAGTATTTCACAATTTCCAAAACAATGAGGTGTAAGATGTCAGGACTGGAAACAGAACCCAAGTTTAATGCAGCAACAAAGATCTCTGCCAGCAGACCTGTTCTACTTGGCACATCCTATCTGAGCCTTTGCTCTTTTAAGCTAAACATCTGAAGACCTTCATATATTCCCTAGCAACAGTCCTGACCTGAATCTTCCCTTTCTCAAAGCCTCAATACATTTAAGGCTTTTTTCAACATGGTGTATATAGGCAGATTCTTGTACCATCACTAGGCAGTGAAGATTAAGAAAATAAATATACGTGTATATATATATATAGAGAGAGAGAGAGAGATGTAAAACACGATTAATTTACCTCAGTGGATTCTGCATCAGCTGAGCAAGGACTGGAAAAATCTGAGGCAGTAGGTACACAAGCTACATCATCTGAGGTTTGCACAGCCCAGCTATTTGCAAATTCAGCAATGTCTTCTGTATATTCACCTACTGCATAAAAACATAGCAAGTGCATCAAGGAAAAAAAAAATGGCAATACAAACACAAAAGACAGCTTGGAAATTTCTCACAGTTTTTGAGTGTGTTCATTACCGTAGATACAGTTACGTTCAGAGTACAGGTGGTGTAGAAAAATGTTATTTTTCTTTTTTAGTTTCAGATAGTATTGTATAGCACATTTAAATAAAAATATTAAAAAATATATATGACAAGGTGTTGGTTGGGGCTTTTTAAAGTTAAATCACTAACAATTTTACAATGAATATAAAAATAAGGACAAGAGTAATGCATTAAATACTTAAGAAAAAAATAAATTTCTTTAAAACAGTTTAAGGCTTTCATCATGTTTCACAAAGGTCATTTAGCACTATTATCTCCCTCCTTTCCCTTGCTGCAGAAAAGCCCTACAACACACCACTACATGAGCAACTCTCCTCACAGCATGAACATGGAAGAAATAATGAACAAGATACATCACTGAAAGTCATGGCAACAGGCTGAGGAAAATACATGAACATACAAGAAGGTTGGCAGTAAAGAAACAGAGCCAAATTTCCATATTTTTCCAGCAAGAACTAAATATTATGGGGGTTTTAATGTTCTTAAGCATGTTAAAAAGTGTATATTGCCTCCACCTTGAAGAATCTTACAGTAATTGGTATCTATGCTATGGTTATCTGTATCTATGTATGGTTAGAAGATAGGGTATTGAAATGAAATCAGCTACAGTTTATTTCACAGTGCTGTACTATCCAAAACTTAATGTAGCTTCTTCTAGCACAAGATGTGCAAAGTCTGACACTCTGCAGTGTGGAAAGCTCAAAAGCACACTAATCAGATATTTGTACTTGGATCTCCACAAATAAACAAACATAATTAAAATCAACTGGTGGTTAGGATCTGAAGAGCCAGAAAGACTTAAAATATTTCTCCCTCTGACAGAATAATTCTTTACGCAGAAAACCCATCCCAAACATAAAAAGCTGGGGTTTGATCTAGAGGTAAGCCTGTTGACATAACTCTGCTTTTGCAGAAACGTTAGAAGTATTTTATTTACATTTTGGCATGGCTTGAAAAAATTTTCTAAGTCCTCAAAAAATGCCACAAAATAAAATCACTGTCCTTGAAACAGTTCTATACACAGATACAGCCTTGTATATTAAAGCAATACAAAGATGCCATTAAAGATGAAGATAAGGAAACAGAAAAGAAGCTTGTTTTTAAGCTGTGCTTTGATATGGAGTATTACATGCCTTTCAGCAACTTATTTATTTGGGACATTGCAAATAGAGAGCATTCAGACTCCAAAAAATCCAGGATAGATGTAAGAGCTTCCCTTACACTACTGGAGGAAGTAGTTTAGCTGGGGGAGATAAATCATCATCCCAAATGATTTATAAGATTTGGAAACACTTAGAAAAATGTTGCAGCTTAAATGTAATTTGAATTAGCAGTCTATTCTTATGGAGATATCAGGACTTCATGCTTTGTATTTGCACAGAGTCAAGGCACCATGTTATACAACTGGTTCAAGGTTAAAATGATTCCTAGCACTCTTGATTGTACACTACAATAATACTATAATTTCCGATAAAGAAAAATGCTAGGAGAAATGCTAGGAAAATGCTAGAAGAGCTGGAAGTCTTTTATAACAGATAATACATTCAAAGATACTGAAATTACTATTTTTTAGAGATTGTGTGAGTTCATTATCTTCTCCAAACTCAATTTTTCTCTATTATTACAGATCACCATTTTAAACTAGTGATTAAACATCCTATACTCTGGTGTGCAGAAGTTAATGCACAAAACGGGGAAATTACTGCTCTCATGGCAGAAGAGGTATGAAAAAATTATATTGGGCAGATTTTTAAAGACTATACAAAGATGAGTATATTGCATCTTCCTTCACTTAGAATGTCAAAAAGCTCTGCTATCAGCCATGAAAAATGGGGAAAAACAGAGGAGGGGAAAAAAATTACAGTGAGATAGCTTTTGTGACTTAAGAATATACAGGACCATGGGACTAGATTTTCCCAGCAATTAATGGTAACAGTAAAACAACCCTATCTTTGCTTTTATCAGATACTGAGAAAAATATTCCTCATATTCTCAAGCTTTTTTTTTTTTTTTTCCCACATTAGTTGCAAGTAGGACTAAAGTCCCTATCAAGTATTCCCTTCATAGACTACAGAATATTCTACCATCTTAACAAGTCAACTCTGCCTCAGACGCAGCGTTGGGCAATTCCCCATCCTACAGGGTAGCTGGAGGCCCATAATACACCGTACCAACAGAGAGATAAAAGGAACTCCCTGGCAACAGCTTTGAAATTTACATATTTCAACTAACATTTTTCTGATGCTCATATAAACAAAGGACTCAAGATGGTGCTTTTTCCAAATACTAATATTTTGGCTCTTCTCTCTTTTTCCCTCCATCTTTAAACACAGAGGAAAACCACAAGCATTTGTTTATTTATTTATTATTTGAAGGCACTTTCATCAGCTAAGATAAACATACCCCAAGTGCTTTGCTGAACAAGGAAAGGTTTAAATATACATATAAATACTTTCTTGAACTAGGACCTTTTCCCTTAGTAACTTTAATGACCAGGAAGAGTAGAGCAGATATGCTGCTTTCTACTGAAATAACTGAAAAAGGACTCTGCCTTTTTACAGTATTATATTTAAAGTGAACACGGAAGCTGTTCACACAAGGTAAGTGTGTATTTCCAAGCTATTTACTTACTATTTTGCAGTATCAGGTCATCATATTTGTTGCCATTAAAATTCCCACAGAGGCCACAAGGTTTTCCCTTATGATCTTCTGTCAGCTTAATATAAATGCCAGAGTTTCCATCCCAAGCAAGAGAAAAACCAAAGGTAGTCTTCACCAGAATATAGTCAGCCAGTCTCTCAAGGAAAGCATTTCCAACTGTCTGAGGTAACATTAATCTGGAAAATTAAACAGCCTGCTTCAAAGATCTCAGATAAGATGAAGTTAGTGCTAGAAAAATATAACATAAAACATCACCTTCTAACTCACTAAGCCCTTTTTCCTAGGTGTATACAATCACTTCCACTCAAACCATCGTAATGTTTTTACTGTCTTTTATTCTGTTTACTTCTCTACATTGACCATCAAAAATGAATGCTTTTCTGCTTTATATATCTATCAGTTGTACCAGTGATAAGTCTGAAAGAAAAATGTATCTTCATTTTCAAAGCCCAGCATGGACATGTTGAGCAATATGTGACTTAATGAGCATGCTGCGTTGAGCGAGGAGCTATGTGACACTATGACCACCAGCAGCCCTGCTGGGTGCAGGGTCATCACTGGGTTAGATGTCTGCAAACGGAGGAACTTACAGTACAGAAAATACTATTAACCAAAATACTGTATTTCTTCCTCCTTTGCCCAAAGACCACTGGACAATAATATTCCAGTACAGATCTAATCATCCAAACTTGCTTCTGTTGGGTTGAACAGTATCACTGCAGCTATCTCTCAGATGTTAATGGCTGTAGCATTATATCAAAGGGGATGTCAAGAACACCTTAACAACTCTGAAATTTGCTGTACTTTATCAACCAGTAAAACATACTTGTGATAGCCTTGCACTCATCTTTTCACTTATTAAAAAAAAAGCTGGTAAATTTGGGTGTTTGAGGACCCTCAGAGATGTTTTGTGAGTTTTTGCCTCAAAGGGGCAAAGGGGACTTAAGATCTTTGATTCAACCAGTTCAGACTTGCCTAGAAGATTATGTCTTACATTACATATAGCTACCAAAAAATAAATAATGATTGCCTTGTTCAAAATGGTTTCAAGATGCACCAATGATTAGCTAGAATTGTCTGATGCAGACTTTGTCTATACAAAGTAGGGATGGGCAATTGTTATGTTACAGACGAGAGGTTAAACACAGGGTTCATGCGGGGAGTATATGCTATCCTCCCTCAGGTATTACATCAGCACCATTACATCTGCTCACACTAGAGCTCTATCAGCCCCAATAAAGAACAGCAAGGGAAGAGTAAAGATATATATCAAATTATTTTCTCTGGGTGGTGTAAAAAATTATTAATTTCCCAAACCCCACACTATCTTTTTGCAATAAAATGTTAAAATCCACCATTAGAACACTTACCTGATTCCATCTTTTCTTACTTCATGTCCTGAAATAATTATTTCTTCTTGGTTTAAAAAAAACAAGCTGACAGACCTCTGACAAGTATATACCGAACCGTAACAGTGAGGACTGTTATGAATCTTAAAGGGAAAATATATAAACAATAAGAATAAATGTTTGTTCTCAATAATTTCATATAATTTTTCATAAACTCATATATAATACTTTACAGTTCTATGCACCAATCACTGAAAGAGATTTCCAAATAAATACTTGGAATATAAAAAGGTCACAATTACAAAGATTTACTAGAAGTCCACGCTACACAATGCTACTGAGAAATACAGTAACTGTTTAATAGCACAAAGCATCACAAGACAGTGGTTTAAATACTGGATTAAATACTCAGGTATTTTACATAGATGAACTTCAGAGACGCTGTAGTGAGCTAGTTTATAATTGCCAATGTAGGAGCTTGTTATTTGCACTGAGGAGACACCCTTATTGCTCTGTTTGTAGAGGTCTGACCTATAAGAGAGAACTACAAACCAATACAAAACCTCAGCGTAATACCAGCATTTTCCATGCCATCTGAGACTGGCACCAGCTGAACTTTAACCTGTCTTCCCAAAGGATTTGTTAAGATTTTGGACTGCTCCCACAGGTTACTGCAATCATCTAACTTACATGTTAAAACCCATTTTGCACTGGCTTTTCAGCTCTGCTAACAGAAAAGGGCAGGCTTTTCTGAAGTCTGCCATTATGTATATATGACATAGTGAGACAGGGCATTGATTTGAATCGTATAGCAGATTCTCTAGTTTGAACACAGCAATGGAAACACAAGTTTCAGTCAGCCAGAGACAGATTTACAAAACTGTGTGTCTCAGATATTGGCAATGTGCGACTTCCATGACTGCCCACTACTAGAGAGAGGTGTTAAACAGACCTCAAATGCATGCTTCCAGAAATGAAAACCATGCTACTCCTATCTCAGCATGTCTACAGTTTTGTGGCAGTGAAGTAGATCTCACATAAAAAATGTATAATCAGACCTTGGGACAGGCATGATACGCCAGCACTCTTCCTTTTTATAGTTTGGCAAAAAGGAGGCTCCCCCAGAGTCAGACTTCCTTTGCATTCCCAGCCTTCGGCGCAGCAGAGCACAAGCCCTGCAGGAAGGTCCTTGTCCCCAGAGACCACACAGCTTGCATTGGCCAGGGTGTGATCTCAGGACTTGAAAACTGTGGGTTCAGATTTACTATGACTGATAGGAATAGGTCTCCAACTTTCTGTGTATATGCTCTAATCAATTAGCTGTTACAGTTTGGAATTACACTCACGTAGTCTAAGTGAGTTTTAGAGCACGTACCTACTCCAAGGCCTTGAGCAAAACTTTAACAGCTTTCATTAATCTCAATGGGGCTGAGCCACCCAAACCTGTGGGACATCCTAGACTAGGTGCTTCAAAAGCCTGTGAGCTGATTTTAGACACCACCGAGGAGACAGGGGAATGTGTTGTAAATCTTAGATACCTATCATTACCTAAATTAAAATGTAGACAGGGTTTAGATAACTCAAATATGACTCCTATGACTCTGTGTGTGTCACTGTTCTCTGAGACGGATGGGAGTTGCATTACCAGTTTACTTGACAGTGCTGTGAGGCTAAATAAATTAGTAATTGGGAAGCATTTTGCTAACATAGTAATGGAGGCTGTAAAAGTAACTAGAGCTATTGTTTTTGTAGAAAGGATCTGTTGGTAAACACATACAGTGCTAACACATACTTGAATGATTCTTCTTAAACTGACAATCCTGAAAGTAAAAACCAGTTACTGTTTCTCTGAGTAAAATAAACCAAACCAGGAAAAGCATTAGAGTTTTTACATGTATAAAGATAACAATAATTAAAGACATCATAAATGTTACTAGTATTGACACATGGTTTCTATGTAAACCTGGCCCAAGACAGAAACACAATCAAGGAAAATTAAAGTAATTCTTGTGTTTTCTTCTCCTCTAGAGAGTTAGATTATTAAAGCCAGGAGGACCATAATGTGAGGATTTGGAAAGGTTCTTGGCTCTCTGTTGCCCAGCCTGTAGTGACTGCACTGCTTCAGCATTACTTATGACTTTTCTGAGTAAACACTTTCAGTTTTTAGCAAAACATGATGATTGTTCCAGCAACTGAATGGTAGTTTATCTCTTTCCAGAGTAACTGGAATCCACTGAAATATTGATTCAGGATTTTAATATAGTCTTGAGCTTTTCTACAGCATTTTCTGAAAACTCCTAAAAGATTATAGCTGCACACAGAATCCAAAGAATTAAAATGATTAAAATGAAATCATGGAAGACAGATGTAACAGCATCTGTCTATAATCTGAGTGAATAGAAATGGTAGGTATAATGTCAGATTTATCTTCACTAGGTGTTATTATCTCAGGGGAGAAGAGGTCGTGTTTATAAATGAAAACTAATCCTTCAAGCATAAATCAGCATCTGGGTCTGCCCTTACCCCTGTGAGCACTGTGACCACGAGGGCTCAGAATTAGGACCCCTCTTGTCCCTTCTCTGCTACCCAGCTAGCACCAAATCCCAACCATTGTGTAAAAAGTAACATAATGAGCTCATATCCCTTCCCCACAGGAACCAATAGCCTGATAAATAGGGCATCTTCCTTCAAAGAGTGTATAGGTTTGAACTCTCCCCGACCCAAGGTCATTAACCATGGATATTCAACAATTTGAGGAAATTACTAAAAAGAGTGCCTTCCATACATAGGTCAAGATGAAGGGTTTTGAGCTGTTAATCTCCTCTGTGTGACGTAGAGGTAATCCAAAATTAGAATGCAAATCCTCAGAGGGGACAGTTTTCCGTGGGCCAGGGAGGTAGCTTTCCATAGTGTGCTGATGGCTCTGATTTGGGCCCCAGTACACTCAGGTGCCCAGATATCAGGGAGGTGATAGCTGTTTGCACTTTGCTCAGCAACTCAATTTTTTTTACAATCTGACAGCTAAAGTTTATTGAAGTTTCCAAGGTCTGCTTTAAGACCCACTTTTGCTCTCAAAAAGGAGAGATCCGAGATCCTTTTTAGGACAGGGGGAGTAAGAAATACTATTTTTAATATAGTGACTCTGTTGATTATCATTTCATCAGTGTTTTGAGTTACTGTACATAGGTTTAGACATTTTCCAGCAACATAGCTTTATATTTAAGTAAGTAATGCAACAGTTTGATCCATTCATTGCCTCTCTACTTATTTTACTTATGAAGAAAAATAAGTCCTGTAATACAGGAATACTCATGTGTACTATTTCTAGTGCATGCTCACATACTTACCCAAACAGTGTACTGGGGTTCTGGAGTATTGCAGTCTTTTGCAAAAATATAGGAGCAATTTCCTGGGAAGTAGTAGTAGATGCCATCAAATGTTTCAAAATGATACTGTCCCCATGATTTGCAAATTCCATCTCGGTCCTTACCAGTGTTAGGTACTGGAGAGAACACACTGAGCTTACAACAAGCATGGTAATCAAAAATTGACAGTTGTCACAGGCATCTACAAAAGTAAGCGCTCAGAAAGGAAATAAGATCTTATAAAAGAAATTAAAAAAAAAAAAGATCTGATAAAAGAAAGGACAAAAGATAGCTTCATTTCTTCAACTTTAAATAAATTCAGTACTTTTTTTAATCTTTAGGCTGCAGTTTTAGTCACAGGCAATCATCATAAGTTTTTAATTTGCTTCAGTGGAGACATTTTAATTATAAGTAGAGGCAAGGGATTTAGATCTACTGCAGATCTTGGAAAACAATTCTTATTGACCCCCTATACACAGCAGATTCCAGAAACCAGCGCATTGAAATAGTTGGTAATTTTATTTGCAGTAAGTCACTGTTTGTTAGAAAAATGCAGTGACTTTTTGGTTGTTCAGCTAACTATAAAAAAGCTGGCTAGCTACTCATGAACTAGACAGTGATCTATGTGTTATGGTATCTATGTATCATTGCAGCCCAAGTGCTCAAATGTAGGCATTCTTGATGTTGCTCTCTATATATCCCTAACACATATCATTTTAATCCTCTTAGCTACTAGTGGAGTGACAGTTCTACTACAGGGGAATCACAAATATGCTTTTAACAGTATTGTTGTAAAAACCTGCACCTTAAATCTCACTTGAAGCTGAAACTTGACTCTTTTGGCCCCAAACTTACCAATCTGGCACCTGCTTCCTTGAGCCTGAAATAACTGACAGTCACAGTCACCTGCCTCTGTGCAGGCTGCTCCATTAAGACACTCCTGAGGACATGAACCTGTAAGAAAGCATGGCAGCCTTTTAGTAGATACAGTATTTTGAAAACAGGCTTAAAGATCCACATTAAATCTGTTTATTGTTAAATCATAAGCAGCTATATTATCTAAGAAAATTAACCAACAACAATCTCCAGATTTTAATGTTTACTTAATTTTACCCTTTGTGTTCCTTGGTTAAATGAGAAACAAGGTTCTCTCTCATTTGGTTTGAGACTTGTAAACTAACAAAGGAGCAAAAGGTCAACCTCCTCCCAGCAAACAAAAGGTCAAGTTCCCATGTAAAGAGACCAAATCCCAGTCCTGCTGATCTCAAAATACACAGGACACAGATTATTATAATTGACTAAATTCAGCAAAATTTATACATATGTTCAGCTCCTCCCTCCTAAGCATTACTGCAAAGGGTACATTCAGCTTATGAACAATCCAGGACATATAATTTACAGACTCAAAACCAATTATAAATTATCTTCCTTCCATGCTAAAAAAAAGGTCAGTGAAAAGGTTATTTCTGCTTAAGAGACTTAAGATTCCATGGGAATGGTTTGTTTTATGTTTTAATTAGCAATTGTTTCCAAAAGCAGTTTCATTCAAGGTTTTTATAGTCTATTTGGAAGCTAAGACCTCGCTGTCATCTACTAATCATTTGCTGAGGTGAGTCTAAATCATAGTTCCCCAAAAGTGGAGAAGCAAGGTAGTCCAAAAGCAAGATTTCATCAGGTTTTGCAGATAGTTGCTTTCCTTCTTGGGGGAGGATTAAAACCCTAGATAAAAAAGCTTATGATCTTGCTGAAGGAGATTTAAAAAGCACTGCAAAAAGCAGGAAGTAAATGAAATAAACAGGCCCTTCCACTCCCAATGAAGCCATGGTAAAGCTGCTGGTGACATTAAATGGGAATAAAATGGGACCTTTACAGTAAAGCACACACAGAAGTTACTAATGATTAAGAACATCAGCCTTCACTGTGAAAACTCCTTTCCATGTTCAGTTTTGAATATTTTCCATTTAAGAATTGCTTTCCAAATATACACAGATACTCTGAAAATACTGACAAAGCGTAAAATACTGTTTATAGAACAGCATTAATGTGGAAAACATCTTTGTTGTTGTTAGAATTGTGACCTGTAAAATTACATATATTCATTTACATGGAAAGACACCCAGACACACGTATTTTCCAAGAAGTATACCAAAGTTCGGTTGCATTCAATGAACTTTTCTGCAAAACAACTTCTGTAATTTGGACCTGCTTGATGTGTTTGTATAATGCTTAAAACGCTCCAGGAGCAGCTGCGTACTCATTGCCTGAGCACCCCTGTCCCTTTGCATAATCAGTTACATGCCTCTCAGACATATTTACGTCCTCTGCCAAGGCCAGAAAAAGTAGCAGAAAAGAAAAACTGTAATGGAATTAAACTTAAAAAATAAAAAAAAAAAAAAAAAAGAAAAAAGAAAAATCAAAGGGTTGGTTTAGTTATCTGTTCAGATTTGTTTGTGAGGCATTATTTTAAAAGTACAATTTTAATGGAGATTTTCCATGATTTAACATGGATAAAAAGAGAAAATGAGGCGGGGCAGGGTTCTGTAGGGGATATAATGAGGAAGGCTTCCAGAACCCATGGTAACACAAGAGAGCCGGTAGCAAGGCAGCATTGTCAGGACCATCTCTCTTCCTGTGGGTGAGGAGCGTGGCACTGACCTCCTGGGGGACTCCGCGTCAAGGCCTCATGAAGGGGAGACCAAGGAGTGGCAGCTTGAATCTGTCAAAGAAACGTAAAAGCAAAATCAGGGTGCTTGTCCTTTACCAACGAGCTGATTCAAGCCTGAGGCCTTGCAGCCTAACATTGGTTTGGGAATTATAATACGGAAGAGTAATCTGCCGCTCAGACAGTACGTGGTACAGCCACAGGTGCTGCAGGAGGCATCTGCAGCCTGGGCCAGTGGGGAAGGCAGCGACTGCAGCAACCAGCACTGTGGGGAGGAGAAGAACAGGTCCTGTGGGGATGGGGAAGGATACAGTTGTACTCTGGGATCACCACTGGCCTCCTCTCCATGCCCTCCAGTGCCAATGAAACAGCAGGGATCCACCTGGGAAGTTTTGCATTTATATTTGGAAGGAAGAGTGAGGGGACAGTGAGCACTCCTTTTCACTTTGGTCAAATACCAATAGTTGGAGAGCTTGACAATGTGATATCCCTCCATTTCATCCTCTCCCCTAACTCATGCTCTGTGCCACACCCCGATCATCCCACTGTGGCCACTCCAGCTGTGATGGATTTCATTCCTCCTTGAGATCCTTCAGAATTGCATTTCAGTTCATCCCAAACAAAAGAGAAAGTGGATCTGCCTGATGTGCTTCCTGTCTTCTTTAGGAACCGGGGATCATTGGACTGTAAGGAAGCCCTGGATCTGACCCAGCACTCTGCTACTGCAGCTTGTCACGTCGCATCATCCCTTCCAAGAACTAATCCCATTCCAGGCTGAGAGCACTCTGGGGGTTTTGCCCCCACTCATCTGATTGGAAAGTTTAGCAGGGTGAAGTGCTGGGTAGTTAAATATTTCTCTCTTACATTTATTCATGGCCAGTTTAAATCCTTTTGTTTTATAAAGCTTGGCCCTTTTTCTTAAATAGCTCTTCTTCCCTGTGGTTTTTATTTATTCCCTCTCTGATGTTCTATGAGAAAACAGTTACCCTTCTGTGCTCCCCACAGACGTATACGCCAGCCTTTAGCTGCACAACTAAGCAAAACAAATTGTTTAAGTCTTCACTTGTCAGCTCATTTCCTTTTTCCCTCCTGCCACCAGTCATTCTCCATCTCTGGAGTTTGAACTAATGGATCTCAAAGTGAACAGCACTGCATAAGGAACAGGTTAGATTAAGTCTCACTAATGCCTCGTACAATGACATAAAAACTTCCCTTTTCCAACTGGAAATACATTGTAGGATGCATCCAAATAGCACAATCTGTCTAAAATCAACCTGAAATGGACTTCATCAAACCACCACCTTGAAGGCCCCCGCAACAATTCCTGGTTCGCATGACCTGTCACTAGTCAGAGAGGATCTTTCCCTCCCTGAACAGCAAGACCCATTTCCGTTTCCCCTGAGAGTTACTATGAGCCATCCTCCTCAGGAAAGTGTCTTTTCACCTTTGCGTTATTTTGGGGAGGTAGAGTGTCCTTGCTGTGACAGCACTTTCCTGCTGGAGGCCCTCCTGGGGCACTGTCAGTCCTGAGGGCCCATTTCCCTCAGAGGCTCGATTCACATTAGCACAGCGTTTCACACCAGCTATCTTCTGACTTGGTCGGGAGGCACGTAGAACTCAAAGGGACTTGGAGAAAATCATCTGTGGTTTGGATGCAGGCTCCCCGCAAGACTGTGAGGAGGGACTGCCTTGGGCTTCCCGCCTGCCCCCATCAAACTGGGTTATAAACCTTGCTTGGGCTCCATCGCCTGAGACGTGTACCAGCAGGGGAACAAGATTCCCTCGTTTACCATTAAATTTCAGTGCAACATTTCTGGGATGCAGTGTTGAGGCAGCAGTGGGCTGAGGTGGTGGGAGCCAAGGCTGGGCCGGAGCTGCCACCACACCACACGCAGGAGGGAGCCTTGCCGGTGCTGCCACCATTGTCCCTCTCACCAAACCCTAACAGCTTCCCGGGGCTCTCTGTTTGCCCTCACTAAAGACAGAAGCGTCGCAGTTTTATTTCCCATGGTGTGCGTCAGTCAGCTCGCCAGGGTGCATCACTCACCAGGCACTTTGCTGAGAGTGAATGAAGGCGTGAGGCCACGGGCTCGGGCTGGGGGCGAGCAGGTAGGGAATAGCTGCTCCTCCTCACTGTCCTCCTGTTACCGCATCCTTTCTCCCCACAAAGGCTCCTTTGTAAGGACGGCAAAGGCCCAGAGCAGAAAAGGAGGGACGGTTTCCCCTCCCTCCTGCTTTTGGAGGTATAACCTACCTCTGCTGTTACAGGATCTCTTTTCTGTCGAGTTGCATTAAACTCATTTCTGGAAGAAAACAAAAAGGATCTTGTATAATCAAAGGTCCTTGGAGCAACCTGAATAAGCAGCTCCCTGGAGAGAAGTGTTTCTCTCTGATTACCATCACTTTATCAAAGAGGTCTTTCTTGGGTTAACATTTAAAAAGGTGATTCTTTTTTTTCTTTTTTTTTTTTCTTTTCATGGTCTCATTTTACAGCATTGGGCAGCACTCCGATCTGTGCTTGGACAGGGAGGTATCTGGAGCTCGTGGGGGAGACATAAATAGGCAAAATAGGCTTACATGACAGGAGACAAAACCGTAAAGCAGCTTCGTATTTACTTGACACTGCCTGTGAGTGGCTGCAAGTTTCCCCAAGTGTTATTTCAATATACTGTGGTGGTACTTTTAATAGCAAGAGATGACTCTCTATCTGTAGCTGACTTAAATTTATGATTACATTTAGAAACAAGGGCATCAAACTACAAAACATACTTAGTTTTATCAACAGTCAAAGATGGCGTATCATTTGATGTGCGTGTGTGTTCGCAAGATGTATTAGAGGTCATTAGACATCCAAAGCTATGTCCGACTGGATGCTTTCATTGAAATTGATGGCATAGTTCCCATTTAATTCAATGGGATCAGGAACATTCCCTAGTTTGGGTTTTGTTTGGATTTCAGCTTCTACATGAAATCTTGTCTTGAAAATGTTTATTTTAAGGCTGTATAGCACTTACTTTTCTGTGCTTCAAATAGCAGCTAGGATTTTATCATGCAATTAAAACTGCAGAAGGATACTCATTTAATGTATTTTTCCAGTCATGAAATCATGATCTCATGCTGGTTTCATTCCATTATTCCTCTAAGCTTTCTCGAGACCATAGAAGTATCATCTTTCATAAGGACCTCAATTTTTCAAACAGAGGACCCATGCCCTTTATGTAAATGCTTTGAGAAGAGTTGTAAATATTCTGAAAGTGTGTTTTACATCCAATGTACATGTACATGATATTTTACATGTTGAATTCAAGGCTACATTTTACTTTCTAATTTGCACTACATCACACTTATTCATTTTTCTGTTTGTAGGACTCGACAAGTAAAGAATAAAAACTCACCTTGAAGTTCTTCTCAAAAGAGAAAGCTTGCAATAAGATCCTGTAGGTGAAAAAATCATCAGGTTAAATGATTTTTCTACAGCCTCACTCTGCACTTGGCAAACAATAGTTTGTCAAGTTTAAAACAGCACAATTGAATTTTGTTCTTTAACGATCCTAAGTTTTCCAAATTATCTTTACACAATATTTTTCTGCTTCCAAGGGATGTAGCACTACATGCTTTCTTTCCTGAGAGTTCGATTCTCTCAAGTACTCATCACCTGCGAGTTTCCATGGTCTCAGTTCTGGTACATGCTACCACCAAAAGGAGCAAAGAGTTCATACTTCTTCATAGTCTCAGAACTGATAAAACACAAGAGGTGCTCAGAGATTTCTAGAATTAAATTTCTAGGGTGGTTACCTATAATAATTTTCTGAAAGTTACTTGTAAGGCTCCATTGTAAACCATTAAAAATGTTCTAAAGTCCATGCTTTAAAAAACAAACACACACCCCCCTCAAAAAAATAACCCAATAACTGCTTTCTCATGTTGCCTTAGAAATCTTTATAATTGCTATAAAAAAACTATCTACAAGATCCAATTGTATTGCACAGAAAATAGGATAATCTCTATAACCAGAAGAGTGATTATTTGCCCTAGCATCCTAAAAATGCTTAGGTACAGTCTGTTCAACCAAAATCATACACCACTGAAAATCATTAGATGCTTACTCATCTGGCAATAATGGCAAGAAAGCCAAGAAACTTAAATTTCATTCCTAAATGACTGTTTTGTAACAAATTCAGCCATAAAAATGTGTCTTCAAAAAAAAAAAAAAAAAAACAAAACAACCCAAAACCTATATTTTAGTTTCTAAACTTGTGAGAGAGTGGTGATATACATAGTTTTTTAACTTGTGTCAAAAAACTTCTTTATTTATGAATTCCAGCAAGGGTCAAAAAGTTGTTTTATAATGATAGAAAAAGAAGAACCTGTAATATTACCATATTTAGATTTTTTTTTTAAGTTAGTATTACTACAAAAATGGGATAAAGTTCTTACCTTGCAAAGAGGACAGCAGTGAATGAAGCAAGAATATACTCCACGGTATCATTAAACTGAGCTTTCCCACAATGTTCATTTCAGTATAACTTAGTAGTAGGAAATTTATCCAAATTAATGGTTTTGATTACGATGGCATCTTAGAACTATGTATTTCTACAGTGTGTTTGAATCCTTCCAAAGTTAGATAGTTGGATGCATTATTTAAAATAAAGCAATGCTAAAAAGGAAAAGAAAAGGAGACATCAAGCTTGGTAGCTACATGCGGCTTCGGGAGCTTTGCAAGTGTTGCATACAACTTTCTGGCTGCATGTCTCTCATTAGTAATGCATGGTAACTCCTCAGCAGAGTCTGTATTAGTTACACTTTCACTAGACCTGAGAGTATTACTCCTCCGTTGGATTGAATCGGCCCTTTATAACATAGCAGACAATGACACAGAAATGTTGCCTTGTCGTGATGGTTTGAGAGTTCCTTCAGTCGTCACACACCTTTGTGTGCTTTGAGGCTTGCGCTGAGTGCTGCTCTTTACTGCTTATCACAGTGAAATATTTTTGCAAGACCCTGCAATGATGCTACTGTATAAATTATAACGAGAGGGTTTTAGAGATTAACATATTAATATTCCTTATCTGTTCTAAAAAGAGAGACATAAACATCCATTAAATAATGCACATGGATTTTTAAGAATATTTTAGATACATTTTTGTGTATAGTTTGCTTATATCACAAAAGAAGGCTTCCAATAGGATAATTATGTTTCATTTTTAATAAAACATGTTATGACATTTTCATATTAGCAAAAAGGATAAATAATTCAACAGGGCCAATGGGATTTTTTTCTAATTGTCATTAAAATATAAAAAAATAATTTCACCAAAATTAAAAATTACCATATTTTAAAATAGAAAAATCTTACCTGCTTTACCCTAAAATTAACAGAATCATTAAAAAGCACAGTTTTAAAGGCACATATCATGATAACTCAAACTGTTACTACTCATTTTATTTTGAGAAGCCTATTTTTGCCTAACCCCCCACTGTTCCTAGGATGTGCTTTGTGAGATCCTCAGAGCATGCTACAGAAGGTGGGTTTGGACCAAAATAAATGTAGAAGTTGATGGCCTCTCACAGGTAAAAAGTTCTCCCATTTTTCCTTCTAGCCCTTTCTCTTCCGTGCTCCCCAGCTAGACTAGAAGACAAGGCAAAAGAAAACACTTAACCTCCCAACCACAGACAAAGACAAAACCCTGTGTCCATACAGCAGCCAACCATACTCATGCAGGTTTGGGATCGCTGACAGCCCAAGGATACTTACTGCAAATCAATATGTATCATAACACTACACTGTGTTCGGAGTACTTCTTAAGAGCTATTTTTATTACCATTGGATCTGAGAAGCTGACAGCCACATAATTCACATTGCAAGAGATTTTTTGCTTTGTTTTTGCTTCTGACTAGCTAGGGGCTGGTCCCGTGGAATGGCTGCTTATCTGCAGCTGGACTGTATCTCCCAGCTTAGTTTCATCTGCTCCATGTGGTCCTAAACCACTCCAGACTGCAAGCAGAAGCAGAAGTGAGTTCCTGATCTGAATTAACACACCGATGTAGTCATACTCACAGACTGTGAGCTGTGAGCATCTATCTCATACAGAGTGACAGAGGCTACTGAACATTTCACCCTTGCATAAACCTACTCTTAGAAGATGATGCCGTAGGTTGGTCTCAAGCGAAGACAAACCAAGTATTAGAGCTTCCAAATTCCATTACCAGTCTCTGTGTTATCTTACTTTCAAGTTAAGTTTGGTTTAGAAGCTGTTTCAAACTCTTCTGGGAAATCTGATCTGGGATTCTTCCCTTCCTCAAGACCATATTTCACACCATGCTTCATATGCAGCTTCACAAATAAATACTTCCATTAATGTAAATGAACTATTTTGGTTTAACAGAACTATCAAAATAGCCTTCCTTTTACAATTTTTCTATAGCAAAGTTGAGGGAATATTTGGTGCTTGTTAGTATTTCACAGTTGTTTAACTTCCAATATATAAAAGTAGGCCAAGCCTCATCACTTGCAAAGGGACTTTGCAAGAGTTAGAGCAATAGGCTTCATTAGGTCTGGATATCTGCTCAAGGCAGGGTAGGAAATAGCACAGTCCCAAGCACATGAAGGATGTTAGCTAATAAGGAAAAAGAATTATTCAGCCAAGTACACTGAACTGAAACTCAGAGGACTATATTAAGAAAGAGATTAAAAAAAAAATAGAACCAAATTATATCGACACAACGACACACATTATCTACACAAGTAGAAGAATACTCACTGATTGGGACTTCTGAAAACTTTGAACAGAAAAATGCATTAGAAAATAATTACTTTTGTAAGAAAACAAACACAATACAGAACACACTGGTCCACACTTAAAAAATGCTAGTGTTACATCTTTAAGTTACAGATTTTTCTTTAAAAATAAAATTTAAACATTTCAATTCTAATATATCTGTATATTGCAGACAAAAACTCATTTGCCCCCAAATTTCCAACATAACATTTGAGAGGACTTAATTTTATATACAGGTTGCACAGTTTATCAGGATTATAAGCAATGGGTGAGAAAATAGCCACTTTCAGTGCCATGGGTACAAACTCGTCCTGGTTTGGAATTAGATCCATTGTCATCAATAACAAAACATGGTACTTTATAGAGTACACACTCCAGCCCTCATTGAACAAGTATTTTCAATGAGAATTCAAGTATGGCCACTTTTTGACATGCACACCTGATCTTCGTAAGGATTAGCAGCATCAGTGAAACTATTGAAAGAGCCGGATGATATGAGGCTAGGGGCATTTCTTCTTTTCCAAGAACCACCTCCACAATTGCTCAAAAACCTTGCCAGGGACTTGCAAGATCAAACTCTTACTGTTTCTCTGAGGGTGTGCGTCTCTGGCCAGAGCGGATGCTCAATGACAAGAGTTTGATTGCCATTCCTGCAGAATCAGGACATCAGGGAAGGAAACATTGCGTTGAACAGGTTTTCTTCTTACACCTCCAAACTTCACGGTAGTTACGCTTCCCCAATGAAGTTAAGCCCTCTAGTGGGTGATCAGTAAGTGACCATTTAGAACCAGAATCTTCAGCCACCCAGGCAGACACCAGCCCAATTCCATGAACATTTCTCACTTAGAAAGCAAGTCTGTGGGATGACATCACTGCAGGATTAATGAGGCATTTTTATAGGATCAGAGTTCAGTTCAGAAAGCATTTTTATTGTGCTAAGAAACTTTTGATTGAAGAAATGACACGTAGATAGCATCTCTGGATATGTTAGTAGCAATGCGAGTTTTATTCTCAGCCTTTCCATAAAAGAACAGCAAAACAAAAATCCCCAGTTACTACAAGCTGTTCTGTGGGCAAAAAAACCCGATACATCAGGTTCCCCCATAGCTGTGAAATTCACCCCTAAGGTTGCTGGCATGTTATTGCATCTTTCCCTGCCTCCCTGAGTTTCACACCACAGTAACTCTCTGTCCTCTCTTTTTCCCTACATCCCACGGCTCTAACAGCTAGGCAAAATCAGTGTTGGACAAGCAACGCCATAGAGTACGTATGTGCCAACTGGCAGGTCAGTACACATTTCCTAAGCAATGAGTGAGCCATTGCTTTTCAGTCACCCCACCAGCCAGACAACTAAAAGGCTTGTTTTTCCCCAGCTGAACCTAATTAACATCTATCAAAATGCCAGTTTTTACAGAACTCAGGAATTCAAGTAGTCAAAATTGAAGTTAGCCATGAACAGCATCTTCTCCTTAGAAAGCCAGGCTAGGAGGCAGAACATGGCAGTTTTCAGCAGCCCAAGAGCTAGAATAATTTGTGAGCAACCCTACTACAAGGTAGAACCTCTGAGGGAACTCAGTGGATGAGAAATGGGTCAGACCTGAGGGTGCAGAAAGGGGGGAACTGAGGAAAGCAAACCATGCATCTTGCCAAAGGGACAGCAAGTGTCTGGAACAGAATATCTCGTTCACTTAGCGTAAGACAAAAAATCCTGGTATGTAAATTGGTGATAGAATACACAACAGGCCCCTCTGCTTCAATGGGAGTGCAAGGGGTTTGAATAAGAGCGTTCTACTTTTATTCAGGTCATGTAGTGCAGTATTTTGTGGCAGACGCAGACAGCTAAAATGGGAGATGGATGGAGAATTCTTTTTCAGAAGGAATTTCTTCAAGTTACACGTTTAACTCTTTAATAACTGCACTTCAGCAAAGATGCCTTAAATGCCTTTCTACAGAAAAAGCAGAGACATCGTAACAAATATTAACATTTATAAAAAGCCACAAGCACCTATTTTCCTGAACTAGAGAAAAAGGGCAAAGTTTTACTATTCTTTGCAGTTCCCCAACCCAACTCACAAAGGAAGCTGGTTTAACTTCATGTTGACTGGGAACACTAAAATGACCTACCATTAAACAAGTGAGAGAAGAAATGCCACATTAATAGAAAGCCCAACAAAAATCTCAAGTATCAAAGTGCTTCTGTAGCAATTTCAGTACCAGCACAGAGCTGTACGATAGACACAAAAATACCAGGTTTAGAGAGCAATACACCAGAACCGAGGCTCTCAGTTGCTTAGTCTTCAATGGTCCTTCCAGTTCCTCTCCAAAATGGTTTTCAAACATAGGAAACACCAGCCCGGGGCTGTGCCCATGCCCATTGGGTCAGCTCACACCCGAGGACTCACGTAATTACTTGCAACTCTTCCAAGAGACAGAATTAGCCTTTCCACCAGCCTTTTGTTGGCACATCCCATGTCTTACTCAGAACTCCACTCTTCTTTTTTGGCTCCTGGGAGATCACTTCCAGAAAAAAAAAGGATCTTGTTTCAGTGGACGAAACTGGAATTTCTCCAACATTTCTTTTCATGTTTGATACACGCACCCTAGCTAGACCTTTGAAAATTACTTCCATACTTTCAGCTCCAGGTTTTTCCCACGAACTTCCCTAAGGCCTTCAAACTGCCTCATCTAGCTCCTGACTGACATAAGCAACTGTCTGGCTTCTAAAGGGATTTTTCTTTCTTCTCATTAAATCATTTAATATTGTTCTCCAGGTCTACATCCCTCTTTGCTTGTACTGTGTGAGCCTGTAGTTGAAGGATGAATCATTCAGACCCGATTTTCTAACACAAAATCCTTTTTACATTTTACATTTAAAAAATACTATTTTGAAACACAATATATGAGGTTTGTTACTTAAATGTTTCCTACATTTAGACATACTAATCTAGAAAACTCTGCCTCCATATTCAACAAACTCCTTCCCCTGCCCCTGCCTGACAATGTAAATTTTAAACACGAAGGTCAGAACAGCTGCCTGAATGCCCACTTGGGCACTATGTTGAGGGAGCTGCCCTCAAGGGGGTAAATTCCTTGCCCCTAAGCACTAGGCAAGGTCAAACAGAGGCAGTTCATGCAGACTACACTCATTGCCACGTAATATTCCATAGTGGTGTGTGGAACTTTGCTCTCAGGGTGGTATTTCAGGTGCAGGTAGGAGGAAAACATAAGTCCTTTGCAAGAACACAAACTGCCAGCACTGAGGTGTATGCAGAAAGATGCTCTGCATGCTGCATTATACTAGGGCAGCAAGCCAAAGCACATCACCAGACACTTGATACAGAGGTTACCAGCTAGGAATCGGAGCCACACCTGTACACATCTTGGACTAGGTCTGTATCCAGGCTGACACAGACATTTCCCCAGGGGAAGCATGTGGGCTCCTCACGTTGGTTCGTAACACCATGAAGAGGGACCATCCAGGTACAAGGAAAGGTCCATCTTTGTTTAAATTTACCAGAAAGGCAAAGATTGAACTCTGCTTTCACGAACAGCTACACTGGTGCGGGTACCCACAAAGAAATAGGATGTAAGCCTTCTTTATTGTTCTGATAACCACACATTCATCAAAAGGAGAAATTTTCCTTTATTCCCTAGATCCTATCTACCTAGACTTACTATGGAGGGATAAGAGAACTGACAAAAGCCCTCTGATTTTAATACTGATCAATCTGTGTATCAATCTTAAATTGACAAACAGTGAAAAATCTATTTACCCACACAGAAAAATGCAATTCAGAAACATGAAATTTATATCAAATTCTCTTGGTGTTTATTGACTCTCACATGACCAAAGAACGATTTTAACGGTAAGACTTCTGGTAGCGAGCACGAGCACCAGGTCCTCCAAATTTCTTGGATTCACAACGCCGAGGATCTGCAACCAGCAGAGTCCTATCATACTGGATTAGAATATCCTTGATCTCTTTCTTGGAAGCTTCATCAACATCTGTTTTAAAAAAAAAAAAAAAACAACAACAACCAAACATAAAAACCTTCAGTTCAAGAAGTTGCACATAGAACAAATCCAAATTAACATTTTTTTTTGCACCAAAACTACCAGAAGCCATACATTTCCACTTAAGAGTAATACACCAATCAAAACAACTTACACTTTTGATAGTAAGCCACCAATGCTTTGGAAATAGCTTGACGGATAGCTGTTAAAAAAAAAACCAATGGATCAGTACAGAATGCAAACATATTTTAAACACAAAGTGCCAGTTATCTGAGAAACTTGCTGTCTTGTTTTTTGCCAAATTGCCCCTTCTCTCCTTAATCTCCCTTCCCACATACTCCACATGACCTTTACTTTGGCAAATTGGAAGAAATCTGTGCCAAGAGGCCACCCATAGTTCACGTGTTGATTTGACAACGGCCAGCTAGCCAAGGAACTGTACAGGGGCAGTCCTGACCACCTTCTCTCCTGAGAGCTAACATAAGTTCATCTTCTCCCTACAAGCAGTCAACTTTCAAAACCCTTAGCAACACAGCTCTCTGCTATGTCTCTCATTTCCAATCAGGATAAAATTGATCAGTGTGTTCAAAGACAGTGGCAGCAAAAGGGACAACAGGACAGTATGAGCAGTTCTTCTAGTGTATCTCGACAAAACAAGCCCGTAGCATTGTAACAGTTATTGGGACTCAGTCCAGGAGTATCCAAGTAACTGTGAAGCTGATGTTAGGCAGTTATCTGCCAGAACATCAGGATCAAGATTTTGATGAAAATCTGAATTTTTTTAAAAACTACTGCAATCAATTTTGGAAATGAAACACATTTCTGCTCTTTATGCAGTTTCAGCTGCACATCACTAACCTAGACACAAACTGCAACAGCAGAACAAATCTATCATTTGTAAAGAGTAACTCTTATCAGCAGCTAACGCAAGTAGGTTCTCAATCTTCCCTGCAAGGGGAAAAAACTGCCTAGCTTTGCAGGCCAGCTGAAAGATGGTCCTGAATAACCTGGGAATTTACAATTAAGATATAATTTCTAATGATAAATCCCTTTTCCTCTCCCAAAATCTTTGTGCTCAGCTGCACTTGAACTGTCCTCTCACAGTGCAAGACACAAAGATCATTTCCTCACATTTCCTCCAAGTTTCACAAATTTACTTCATTCAGTTTACTCTAGATGTTACAGCTTTGCACATAAAATATAACCACTAAGGCCTTACTAAAAACTACATTTGCGCAGTGAAAAAAGAAACAGAACATCAAGATGCACAAGTTACTATTCTGAACTCAAGCCTCTTCAATATGTGGCTTGACCTGTTCCAGCCCTCACCAGAAATCCCACCAAAACTCATACCATAGATTTGTGCTACATGGCCACCACCCTTTACACGGACTCTGATGTCAACACCAGCAAACCGTTCCTTCCCCAGGAGGAGGACAGGCTCGAGCAGCTGGGAAAAAAAACACAGAAAGAAAATTCAATTGTGATCAGAAGCAACAAGGATTAGAGCTTTTAGTAGGTTTACCAGACGTGAAGTTACCAAATGTTCTGAAAAATGGACCCTTGATTTTACAAGCACACATCCAAATTAAGTATATCTCTGGCAGTGTTCTCTGACATCTCCTAGTACTGTTGTCAAATAAACTTACTGAAATCTTGAATTCAACTTTCAAAAATCTTAATAGCAAAGCATATGCACTTGGGAATTAAGAGTAAAGGAATAGTTTAAGCAGAATGCCGTAACTACATCAGCTTTAGAAAAATAAATTGAAGAGCTGAAGTAATCTGTGAGTCATTTTCTCAACTACTTATTACACTTTATCTACTCGGTTTTCGATGCTACGTCCTAAAGAATCTTTTTAATAGGAGCGTTTTAAGTTACCCGTGTCAATTAAAAAAAAATGGATATGAAGTGCTCAAAATAATTCACATATTTACATTAATATACATTATTCAAGTTAAGGAAAAGGCCACCCTTCCCAACAAGACAATCATAGGAGGACAGAGTTCTGAATTTACTAACAGTGTCTATGTTTGAGGTAATCAGATAACACACAATCAAAAAATTAGTACTGTCAATAAGGCAAGCAACTTTTCTTCATCCCAATACAATGATGGGTGTAATGGCATTTTAACATCCAAAGCAGGGAGGGGCTTGGTGGATGCTTACTTTATACTGCAAAGTTCTGGGCTCAATCATTTCCAGAGGTCTTCCATTCACTTTAATAAGGCCATTTCCTCTCTTGCAGTGGGCCACAGCAGTTGCTGTTTTCTGAAAATCCAAATGTGTATTAGTACAGCATTTCATTTTTGCACTACAAGCATGAAGTGAATTTCTATTTAAACAATCTAAAAATCTTAGGTTTATGCCCAAGATTAACATCTCAGACTAAACAAAACAGTAGCACTCTTTACACTCCCAGATATCGACTCATAGTATGAAGGCACTGTCCTAACAACATTGGGTTTATATTTATCTAGTTTTAGTTATAAACGAGAGAAAGATACCCTCTTCGTTCTGCAACACGGTTCTTCTGTGGCTCCTTTCCTCACAAGAGCCAGTTACTTAGAATTATTCGAGCCACTGCACCCTAGCAGCTCAAACTTTCATCTTCCCACCACCTCCCAACATGGCTCTCGGGCACCGGCAACGATGAGCCTAGTCCCTACGGCCTGAGGACGACAGCGACTGCCGCTCCCGAGTACTCCCGAGAGGGCTGGGCTCCGACGCTCAAGACCCGGGCCTAGTCCCTGGGCGAGCAAACGTGTCCCCCCCGCCACCCCCCTCGCGGAAGCGGAACACGTGGGCTGCCAGGCAGGCGCGGCCACCGCCGGCCCTCCCGCGCCCCGGCCCCGCCACACGGCCCCGGCGAGGACCCCGGGGAGCTCCGGGGCCCCGAGCGCCTACGGCCACAGAGCGCGGCCCAGCGCAAGGGACGGAGCGGTACCGCCGCGCCCCGGCCTCACCTTCCGCCCGAACACCTGGACGCTCTGCAGGGGGCCCTTGGCCGGCATGACTGCTCCTGCAAGAAAGAGGGAAGGCGGCGTTAGCGCTGCCAGGGGAGAGGGGCCGAGCGGGGCGGCGGGGGCCGGAACCCCCCCCGACACTCACCCTCCCCTCTGCAGCGGCACCGCGAAAAGACCGAACGGGGCTTCCCAGCCTCTCCTCAGGGGCAGCCGGGCCGCAAAGCGCAACGCCGCCTTCCGGCAGCGCGACAGAGCGCCCGTCTGCCCCGCCCCTGCCCCGCCGCGCTTTGCGGCAGCTCGCAGCGGCGGCGGGCCCGCCCTCAGCCGCCATCCCGGGATCAGGGGACGCGCTTCCCCCCCGGCAGCTGCCGCAGGGGCGCCGTTTGCTGCCTCCCCGCTGGCTGAGGGGCGCGGCTCCCGCGGCCGGAGAGCCGTGACAGGCGCTGGGTTGTGTGCTGGGGGGGGTTAAACGGGGGGGACCGGGCCTTCAGTAAGGCGCTGCACCTCGACCACGGCTCGGTGGCGGCGGGCCGCACCGTCTTTTCCCCCGCGCTTTATTTTTTAAAAAGCCGCTTTCGTCGCACGCACAGAATTGCCTCACCAACTTCTTCTGACCTAAAGGCACGGGGCCCCGCTGGGGGCTCGCCGCCGCTGCTCGGCAGGGAGCCCGGCCGCCTCCCCGCCGCCAGCCCCGGGAGCAGCGCAGCCCCGGCTCGACCGGGGCAGGGTAGGATGGGACGGGGGTGAGGGGCTCACTCCCTGCCCGAGCTCCCCCGAGGCTCAGAGCAGCCTGAAGGACTGCTTGAGAGGGCTAGGGAGGAGGCACAGCCTTGTGAGAGGTCGTGTCTTCAGTTACAAAACCTCTGGTGCTGACACCAAAGCGTACCTTCTGTTGGGTTGTTGGGTATCCCGGTGGCAAGCGGAACCCAGCTGGGCTTCTGGTAATGAAGAGAACAAAGCGATGCCTTCCCCAAAAAGGCTTACAGTTACTCTTTGGACCTCCCTGAGGTGCAGCAGTACAAACTATGTAGCTTTTTTTTTTTTTTAAGTTTCAAAGTTTAGTAAACTGCTGGACAAAATGAAGCATTAAACCAAGTACTCTATTCTAGCATTGTATGCTGAGGCAGATCCTGGAAACTCTTTATACCTGTATAAGTAGCGACCATCGCCTTCAAGGTCAAGGCAAGGGGTTCTTAGATTCAGGGCATTCACAGATCACCATCAATTTGAGCTTTTATCTCTCTTTTCCTTGTTTAATATCTGTTATAAGGCATGGAATTTAAGTGATTTTCAGGCCAAAAATATTTTACTTCTAAGTCTTTGTATTGAGTATGCAAAATTTTCCAGAAGGACAAAACCAGATTCTGTTGATGAAGCCAGGTCGTGCTTCTTAGATATTTCCAACGATAGAGATTTAAATTGCTGTGATTAATTACAAAGTTGGCTGCTCAAATGAAACAATCATTTCCTTTGTCTTTGGACAGCATTTTAAATACTTAACATTAGTCATCAGTCATGTGAGGATTTAAACAAGCACTTAGCTTTATGCAATTTGAGTGATTAGTTCTATTCAAGTGAATAGTACTGTGCAGAACGTGTAAGATTTAGCACATCTCAACCCCTCCCCAATTGTACAAAGCTTTAACATGTGACCCAAAAAGTGATTTTTAAATGTTTTTTAAGGCTGTTTCCTAAGGAGCACGTGTCTGTCATCCACTCTTTCCCCA